GACTTTTTATCTTTTTTTCCGCATACACCTCAGAAAATTTCTGAAGTAATGTCTCCACAGTAGAAAATATTCAATACTGCTGCACCGTAAAAAGGTATTCACTTTAATATGACCACTTTGGACCCATCAAGGACCACAATTAATTCCAACTAGATTACTTGTCACCCTTAACATATTCACTGCCAAGTTGATTGAGGCAGTTATCATCTGTAACACCGTTATTCGTCTCCTCTTATAAATAGTCAGTAGCTTTATAAATCATCAGAATGCAAGGCAGCAGTGAATCTGTTAATAACGCGATAAATGATCGTTCATTTTTTTTGTAGAGAATATTCTATGATTTACATGTTCTAAAAGAATATCTCTTCTCCCTTCAAAATAATGTGTTTATATATAAATATATATAGACACGTTATGTACATAAATAATTGATAAATGCACTATAGCAGTAAAATTGACACCCAAATGTATATCTTTCGAGTGTTGCCTTGCATATGCTCTTACTCAGAAATGGAATACAGTTGTATGCCGTCTTCTCTGCTGCAGTTTAAATCATTTCCAAATGCTAGTTACAATTTATCCGAGGACGACCAAGGAGCGGTTTCTTCTTTAATCTAAGAGTGTTTCGTTTGCAATCTTGTATACACATCTTGGGACATTGGCCGAGCTCTTTCATATTGTAAGGCGTGATGATTCAATGAAGCCGTAAGAACAAAATACGTGTTCATATTTTGTAATTTAAATCCTTTCCGGACATCAGTGGCCTGATCTCTACATATATCTGCCTTCATATCGCCTGAAATCATGCATACTAAATCATTACGCTCTCATTTTCATATAATTTAGCACACTACATTACAAGCATCTTTCAAACTACCGTTTCCTTCCTCTCTTTCTCTTCCTAATGTGCAGAACAGATGCATAAAGAATGAACTATTCCAACAACAGGAAGTTTACCGTGCTGTACTTGCGTTTCCCCAATGACGACCACACACAATTCCTATACTTGTTACAATTCTTTCTTTTTTTTTTTTTTCTTAAACTCCACTTCGTGTCGTTTACAAGATTCACGTAAGTTCGTTTCATACAGATCTGCTCGAACAATCTGTGACTCCAAAAATATGTCTGGATATATTTTGGATGTAGGTATAGTATAATGCATTCTCAATCAGACAAAGTAACTGATCCGTATGCTTCACTATCTAGAGACCAATTGTGGAAAATGCAAACGTTTCTACAAAGAAACACCTGTAACTAATATTCATTTCTAATAATACCAAGTACGGTATACCACTTCTGACATTTGTATCTTCAACCCTCTCGCTACTGAGCTTAGTAGAGAACATTGATTTTCCAATTAGCTATCGCAGCTTCTTACCGACAGAGTTAAAGATACGCATAAAATAAAGTTCCTTTCGTGACTATTCAATTCTAAATGTTGAATAATACTACGGAAATACAATAATTACAAAGAGAAAACAAGTGTGTACGCAGAACTAATAGACATTAAGATATTCACGCACTTGTACATGATATAAAAATTATGAAATAAATTTTTACAATGTATAGTTACTTTGCGCGCCCACTTACTTAATACACGTTCGGTGTTTCCTTTGATATTTAAGTCATTAAAATTTAAACGAGATAAATAAGATTTGTCAATTGAATGATCTCAGCACGCATCAAGATCAATTAAAGACACTGTTCCTCTCCCATCGAATAGCCCAGGCTTACATATGTACCATTATTATGTGACGCATTAGATAAAATTATAAATACTTCGGTTACAAACTGTATTGGATGCACACAGTTTCGCGAATGTCTGCACAGTAAATTTAGTTGCTGTTGTTATACAAGTGTGCAATATTCCGACACTTTTATATACACTAACAGGTCTGCGGAGTTTGACGTTCGAGAAAATGAAAATTTATTTTTAAAACGTGACTTTGAAAGAAGAAACGAACAATAATTTTCACGCTTACTCGGAAAATCAACGAACGGTGTGTACAAAATGTTGCGTGTTGTATAGTAAAACGCACTGTTGCAGATTTATATTCGCCTAACAGTAACGCATCTTACTGTCGTGGGTTTTCTTCTTCGCGTCGAACCTCGAGATTTCCGTTAAGTTTAAATACAAGAAGAACGCATTCGGGTTACAATTCGTTACAACACGGAAATGCACAATACGTTTGATCGAGCGCAGTGAAAATCGATCAACAATTTCCGGTACATTTCTCCTACGGGAAAAATATAGCAGCAACGTGTACAGCAAACAACTGAGATACGGTCGCAGAATAATTTACAGATTCGGCAATGCACACATGTAACTACACGAATAAAATAAAAACGGGTGGCTTCTCTTTTTCTTTTCTCAGATAAATATAATACGCATCAAGGTAAAGGTCTTTTCAACTTATCTGCAAAATTTAAGCTGCAACCCATTCACGTTACAAAGAAGAATGCAATCATAGGAACTAGCATGAAACGGATTTCTGTTGCTGCAGTATCCCTTTTCCACGAACGATTTAACGATCGAACGAAAAAGCAACCAACGTGGCCGAAGCAAAATGGTAAATCAAGCATGAAACCGGCTTCCAAATAGAGCTACTCTCCCGTGACTCGAATTAGACGGAATTGCGGACAAAATAAAAATATAAGATGAATAAGAGGAAACAAAAAAGAGAAACGATGGCCCCCGCGCAACTATTCTCGTCACGATGCCACCTGCTGGCTACTAGGCTCTCAATAAAATGCACGATACGAACACGCACCCGTTATCGAACTAACATATAACAGTACCGTCCCGTTAACACGGCACTACCCCACGTAAAACATATTGTTATAATTAATAATATACAAATAGTCTATTCTGTAGTCTACAGTATACGAACGTATCTGCGGCTGCTAAACTTGTGTATAAGTTGGCGAGATTCAGTCTTCACATATAAAGGAGAATAGTACTCTTTTAACATTACAATATGCACATTTACGTTTATAATAATAAAAATGTTTATGTACGCGATATCACAGCGTTCAGCATTATTAAAAAGGTACTCGTGTTCCCGAAGCTATTTAGTCGTCGCGTCAACGACTTTTCTTTTTCTTTTTTTTTTTTTTTCAGCACGCGACAGGGACAAGTGTCGAGGCTCGGCTAAAGCTCGCGATGGAGAACTGTGTGCCAATTATCTGTATGTTTTTAAACGGTTTTCGTTTTTGTTCTGCGAGGGAAAACAACGGTTAGTACGCGAACAAATAGAAGATATCTCATTAAACCGAGCAAGTAGTTTCACGGACTTAGGACAGTGTGTGCTTGATACAAGCGTGAGAACTTTCCACGAGAAAAATGGTACGAACTCTTTCGCGGATAGAAGGCGCGTTACAGATGTCTTTCGAAACAAACTGCATATCCTCTGTGTGCTCAAAAGTTTTAACAACCACCGATGGGGAACCGATAGAAAAATATATATCGACCAATACGTTCGAGTCCACTGATGCTACAGGAGTATGTCGTTGAACACGCTTTAACTACTTCTCTTTCTTCGATTTGTAACGCCAACAGGGCAAGATTCTTTTGTTCTTTCAGAGAGGGGAAGTTGAAGGGAAGGGACATATCGTCGTGTGTAACAACCGAGGACACCTAGCCTCGTCGAGTTACGGTTCGCCAAAGAGATTTCACCGAGAAGGCATTCCATAATAGTTAACAACGAAATTCAATAATAATACAAACTAAAATTGTCGACTAGTAGGAAAAAGAAGTACGAATCTTCGAAGATACGACTTCACTTGTCAAGTGTTAGCTAACCCGTGTGTATGTGTGTGCCTCGTTCACACGATGGGGAACTAATGCTTAACAGTTCCTTAATCTTTCTACCTAGTACGATGCAGAATGAACACAGGATTTCGAACTGATGCTTGTCGTGAATAAAAACAAAGAGAACGTGAAATTTAACGAGAAAAAAAAATATATATATGCTCGCAGCAACGGGGCGTTAAACCTCTTTTCTTATAAAGACACCTCCTCTCAGCGACAAACACGCGAATATTAAGAGACTACGCAACCTTAACAACACAGGACAAACGTACAAAAAGAACGGGATTCGGGAGTACAAGAGAAGCAAAAAAAAAAAAAAGAACGACGTACCCTCATGTATTGAATGAATTTCTCATAAACTATATATATATATATATATATATATATTGGTTTTTGATTTCACGAAAAGAAGAACGCTCAACAGAAATAATACACGTTTATCATCCTTCGATTCCATCTCCCTTTGTCTTTTTCTTGTGATTCCGACAAAACGCGAATTCGCTGAGCAAACACAAAGAAAGGAATACTGGTCTTTTTTCGCATTAACAACTTTTTTGCTCCTTTTCTCTTCCCCTAGAGTAGACAACGAGCTCTCGCAGTACACCCTCATTTAGGATCGCATGATTTGTATACCACGTATAAAACTGATAAGATACGTTCCTTATTTTAACCATGATGCACAATAGGTAGATCTATAAATATGCTACATCTTACATATCACAGAGCTACGCGTACACCCACTATCAATGTTAATATTTTTTTGTTCCGTTTGCTTTTAAAATGTGTCTTGCATAACGTTTTCGTTCACTGAGAATTGAAAAGTGCAACGCCGTGTGTTTCATGGAAAAGAACAAAGTATACGTATAAAATGTCAACCCTTTGTCGCCCTATCTTGCGAGTTCACTGCTCTTGCTTAGAACTTAACGCAATATCAGAGAGATTCATTTGTTAAGGAAGATATGCATATTGGACACCCTCAAGTTTTTCGGAGTTGATTCGTGAAAGAGAGAAGGTAGACTACAAAGGGTTACAGTTCCAAGATGTTCAACAATCAGAATATAGACAATGTCCATGTGGAAGATAGCCTCAGTTCATTGTGAGTATCGTAGATTTGCTTAGATTTTATTATCTGTTCGTTAAAAAAAAAAAAAAAAAAAAAAAAAAAAAAAAAAAAAAAATTTTTTTTAAATAACGATGCATAGTCTACATATATGGACACAAGGTGCACCCATCCCATAATATTTAAACCATCCGAAAAATCTACGCCAATGTGTACCATGTTTGTGGTGTAATCATAATTAAAAGTATGGATAAATATTACGACAGTCGATACCGATTAACAAAGTCAACAACATTGGGAGTAAATCGTTAGTCAGTGTACCAGGATAATCTTCCAATAGACTGCGGTGGAGCATAGTTTTCCAGACCGAAAACAGAAGAGAAGAAACAAAATGATAAACCGGATGATTTCATAGAGGGCGTACGCAATGTATGAGTATTCAGAATTCTTAAATACTCGTAGCATACGCTTCTTCCTATTATTATATCACTATTCAACCCTGACACACGCGACCACCGTGCGGTCAGATTAACGCCAGTAGGAGCGTGCAAGCATCCACAGTGTCCAAAAAGGGCGAAGACAAGAATACCATTTGGACGCGCCTAGACATTTCTCGCGACCCTTAAATTGTTCTGAAGTCCGAAAGAATAATATAAAGGCTACGACACCGTGTGAGAAACCTAGAAACGAATCGGCGTGGTTACTTTTCTTTTTCCACTGAATTTCCACCCGGTCGAGAGCAAAATCCGTTGAAAAGTATTTCCGGTGTGACGCGCGCGTTCGAACCGACCAAAAAACGGTAGTAGTATGCCACACGTACTGCTGTTCACAACATTTTCTCTACTGTGCGTAATCAAGTGTAACGAACTGTGAGAAAGACCGTTTCACGAAAGAGCGTTACATGTAATTATCACAACAATGTCGTTCCGCAAACGAGTCCTTGTTTCGGCTCGCGTGTATTTTCGAGTCTTGCATTCTTCTCTGTCGGCTCAAATCTACTATTCATTTATTTGAGTAGTGACGTGGTACAGAGTAATCTGGAGGCCCGCAAAAAATTACTTATTATGCGCTGTCAACGGATCGGTTTCGTGGCCGGCTCGCGGCGGCAAACGAGAGTTTCACGTCTCGTTTCCATCTCGCGTGAAATATATGTACATATACACCACCGAGAGACGCTTTCGAATGGCCGTAACAACGTTTTCGCGACGTTTTCTTCGTTTATTATGTTAAATCATTTTTAATGTCCCATACACATTCGGGTATGTTCACGCGGCGCATTTTTTTTAAACGTTTCGATAGAAAATCTGTCCGGGATAGTCTGAATCGTTCCCCCTAAAAAATAGCAAAAATTTCGACGAGCGCGAACTAAAAAACAGGTACAACTAAATTCATTTGATCGCGGCCAGCCTGCGCGTGCCCATATTGATACGGCACCGCAAAGGCAAGACCACTCAGTGGCCAATTGCATAAACATCAAACAACAATGTTTCTCATTATTATTATTATCATCTTTTTTTTTTATCATCGTTATAATCATTCGTTGGTTTAACAACAAATTACTTTCGATATATATTATAAAAATAAGGTATCAAACTTTGCGCCGAGGTACACAGCCATTGTGACTACATGCTTAATTTAAGTTGTCCCCCTAAAGCCCAAGTTTTCCTTTCTCTTTCCCGTATCGGCACGCCTTTGAATACGTTCCAAAGAACCGAGCCAGGATGGTCAACGAAGTACTCGCTTTTGTACGCTATAATAATTATGCTGGATTATTCCTTCATCAAAGTGCTCTAATTTCTTTCCCTCTTTTAATGAGATTACTTCCACCCCTTTCTATATCAGAGACACGCAATCCAGCAGTCTCGTTTATAGAACAGAGAACACATACGATTGATACCATCGTCGTGCGCTTTGCAAAACGGGTGTACGGCTTAATTTTTATGCAAAAGGCCTTACATTTTGAAGAGCATTGCCTGTACATACATATATATATATGCAAAATATAAATAAATTATCAAATATGAAAACGTTAACCCACACCCCCCTTCTATATGTTTCGTGCATTTCAGGAAAGCATTAAATGTCGTTTACATAGTTATCGCAAGAAGAGTAATTACTTTTTTTTTTTAGAGATATGACCATATTATTTAAGCCTACATATCTGGTCATAGTCTACATCCAGTAATGATTATATCAATGTACCACTGCTAAACAACTACTACTACTTCAGAAAACTCAACTGGAATGTGCCTCGGAGATTAACGGTACGCGACTTGCAATTTTTCTCGTTTACTGTTTCCTTTGGAATAAACGTTACGATTTGTCTTCCTGGGCGAAATAATGGTACTTTGGATTTTTATGTCACTATTTTCTTCACGAACAACCAAAAACTGATATTTTACTTCGTTTTACACGTTTGTGATCGGCAACATTCCAGAAAATAATAAATGATAAAGAAAAGAAGAAATATTATATTACGCATATATTCGAAGGAGACCCAATATCTTCTACACAAACCGTAAACATTAGTGGGCCCAAATGTAGACAGAAAAAAATTGATCTCTTACTTAGCCTGCACTCTTACCGACTTATATCTCGAAAAGCGTCACTGCTGCACTGGCGTGGGCGGATAAGTATAACTGTACGGCGACACAGCTTGAAATTGGCCGTAGCCCATCGACTGATAAGCACAAGCTCCAGTGTTCGGTGGTGGTCGATTTGTCTGGAAGAACTTGTTGTTCACGAGGCTCTGCATCCCAGAATCGGTATGTCCATTGGATGGCATCATGAATGGTGGTGCCGCCATCGAATACATGTTCTGTCCCCCTGTTTGATTGCCACTGTACGTATTCTGCCGATTATGGTACCGATTACCTTGGAAACCTCCTGTTCGGTTGTGATATCTGGGTATATTGGTGTTCTGATATCCAGCCTGATAACTGTTGCTAGTACTCTGACAATTATTGGGGTAAGCGTTAGGCTGTCTCTGGTGTTGTTGCTGCTGTGGCTGCTGTTGATAGTTAGGCTGGAAATTATTTTGACGACCGTTCTGGTATCCATTTTGATGGCGTACAACATTTCTGTCCTGATTATTGACGCTGTTATGGATATGCTGATTGCTCTGAATGTGTTGGTTCTGCCAACTGTTCGCTGTCGGACTGGTATTATTCCTAGGACTTCCACAGTTATTATCTTTATTAGAGCGAGCATGACTCCAACGCTGACGACCTTTACCGTATTGATTTTTCATCGAATTAGCCAGATCAGCCAACTGTGGGTTTATCACCTGACCAGCCTCTTCCAAAACAGAGATCAATTCTTTCGCCTGTCTTGCGTTATTTGGTGTGAAGTAAGCATACGCAGTGCCAGCACTTTGACAGCGGCCTGTCCTTCCTATACGATGGATATAGTCCTCGGAGCTATTCGGATAGTCGAAGTTAATTACATATTTCACATCTTCCACGTCTAATCCACGAGCAGCTACATCAGTAGCGACAAGGATCATGGTCTTGCCGTTTCTGAATTCAGACAAAACATAATCTCTCTCGGGCTGCGATTTATCACCGTGAATAGAGATGGCTGGCCAACCTTCTCTCTTGATTGCCTTTGTGATATCGTCTACCTTCTTCTTTGTCTCAACGAAGATTATCATTTTGCTCCCTCGATCCTTGCTAATTTCTCTAAGTAGATTCGAGAGCTTCGACTCTTTCTCGTGCTCCTGACAGATTTCTATAATTTGACGGATGTTATGGTTGGCGGCCAGCGTCAAAGAACCAATGTTAATTTGAATATAATCTGATAAGAAGTCTTCGGCAAGAGCCTGAACTTCTTTGGGCCATGTCGCGGACCACATCAGCACCTGCCTGTCGGGTCTTATTTGTTCAATAATTTTTCGTATCTGTGGCTCGAATCCCATGTCCAACATACGGTCCGCTTCGTCCAGAACAAGGTACGTGCATCTACGTAGATTTGTGGTTCCTTTCTCAAGGAAATCGATCAATCTACCAGGTGTTGCGATGCATATCTCAACTCCACGTTCTAAGTCACGAGCCTGTGGCCCTTTCGGAGAACCACCAAAAATGCAGGTATTGCGGATACAGGAGGAGGAACCAAAATCCCTAGCAACAGTTTGAATCTGTTGAGCCAGTTCTCTAGTTGGGGCCAGGATTAAAACGATCGGACCGTCTCCCCGACTTAATCTTGGTTGATTATTAATATGCACTGTTGCTGGTAATATGTACTGAAAAACAGACATAATAATGTTACATTTAATATTATTTATCTCATTAAAGGTAGTCTTTATTTGATATAATACTAAATTCTCTGCTGAATATGTTAATTTGAAATTTTTGTTCCTCAGAACAATAAAAAAAAATGAAAGTACACAGTTCTATGTTTTTGAGAAGAACATTATAATAGTATATTCGATGTGTTTTTAAAAAACTAAATGTTTCAATCTACAATAAAGTTATTGCTATATACCCGAATACATGGATGTTGAAACCATACAACTCTGTGATAATGTCTCACCCCGTATAATACTGAACCAACCTCTCTTTTTTATAAGTTAATATTTTGTTCATTACATGTGTCAGAATTTGATAAAACTTAGGCTGTTTTAGGCAACGAGTCGTTCAAAAATCACAAAATGAATAGCAATGAAATACATACTGCTAGAGTTTTTCCAGATCCTGTTTGAGCTATTCCAACCAAATCACGCCCACTGAGTGCAATCGGCCAGCCCTGTGCCTGGATTGCTGTTGGTTCAGCAAAACCTTGTTTCCTTATTTCTTCCATCACATAATCTGGGAAATTACTTTCTTCGAATGCTTGGATAGGTGAAGGTGTATTACTTCCTTTTACAGTAATTTCTTTGCCAATATGATATTTGGCAATATCATCTGATGACCTCTTCAAAACATTGATATGTGGAATATACAGGTTTTTCGTGATCACAGGCAACTTGTTTAAATCCCAGCTAGGCTTTTTTAGCATATCCCCGGGAGTCCTCCTCTGAGTTTGCTTCTTAACTTGCTTATCTTTTTGTGCTTGTTGCTGGCTATTCCAATATGTTCCACCTCCATTGCGGTTACCAGAGTCTCTGTTACCTCTGGGCCTAAAATGTATCAATTCCATAAAATGCTGCCAACATATTTCCTGCATTCATTATTATACTTATACAATATGTTGGACTTTCGACAACCAGTTCCATATTTCATAAAGATCTCTTTAGTTTTTTTTGGACCTGAAGGCATTAATTTATATATAGCCCCACAACTATATTTAATGTATAAAATTTGGTTCATAAAAGAAGCTGTTTGACTCTGTCATCAATAATGGACTTGGTTATAAGTAGGACATTGTTAATGAAGGACCATTATTATGTTATTCCAGGCAAATATTTCTTGCATTTCCTTATACACGTATGTACAATTAAATATGAATAAATTGAAAACTACTATATTATTGTTTCAATATAATAATTATGTATTACAAGTAAACTAATGCATTATATATTTACATGCATAGAAAACATATCAAAATATAAACGACAATTTTCATATATTCAATTATGTTCCTGTCATCAACTTTTAAGACAACCATGTCGCCATTTTTATTTGTACGAAGTAGTTAATTGACCCCTGAACAAAATGCTTTCGCAATATGTATAAATTTTATTGTATTGTGTTAAAAAATATCAAATTTATACACACATTTCGACACATCGTTTCAACGTTGCTGAACTATTCAATAAGATCAGCGATCGTAAGACCTTCACGAACAAAATGGTGGAGACCACGATATTACAAAAAAAAGTTCACTCGGTTTCATCATTAAATATTTCATTTCACTGTTTCCGCGTGTAAAAAACAATTTGTCAATAGCATACCTGCTGTGATTGGAATAACTATTGTTATACATCTGGACGAAAGTTTAGGCGAACCTGTTCCCGGATAGACTAGCAGTTCCGTAAGGACAATCTTCGATTTTTCGGGAACTATGTCAGCTGTATCAGTTACACCTGTGTGCAAGATTAAAAGTCTAAAAATTCTCTCGCCGCAATTATGAGGACAGATTGCTTTTTTTGTACTGATTTTATAGGGTAGGACAAAAAAATCTACAGGATCAAGACTAGAAAATATTTAGAGAAACTCACCCTGCAAGACCCGGCGAGCAGAGCTGTAATGGCTGACAGGCACTGGGAAGACGGAAACGGCCGACTGGGCAATGTTTCCGCTTCTAAATATACGCGTAAACGAACACACAGAAAGGTAAGTCACTGATTGGTCGGTTCTTCTGTCGTGACGTGATCGAAACAGGTTGTCCAATCATAGCACAGTCCGACAAATCAATGAATTCAAGTGTGATATATTTATCGAATTTAAAGGCCAATTTACATGAAGCGTGAGAAATGAAAATTGGAAATAAGTTTTAAATTATAAGCTAAATCCAAAGTCAATTAAATGGACTCTTTGAATAACCTGTTATTTGATATTAACACTTTGTTCGAATTTATACAGCGTATACGTTTTATTACGGTTTCAATAGTGCATTATGAAAAATAATATAAGTATAATACAACTACTAGAGAGGAAATGAGAGTGCTCACGCCCAGGAATTCGTTGTTTCCGAGCATATGTGCTGCACCAAGTGGCCGATTCTATTTAGCATAGTAGTAGAAATCTACCCATATCCTGGTTCCACGCTAGCATGTATCAGCATATATGATATATGTATAGTACTTACCCGAGAACAACGACTTTCCGGGCGTGAGCACTATAAGTTCCTTTTTGATACAACTAATTATATGTTTTATTAATAATCTCCAATTACATGTATTTAAATACATATAAAAGTATTGTAAACATGTATTTTCATTATTTAAAAGGGATGTCAAATAGTGTTTTTAGGAACGTTAGAAGCCAGTAGCCAGTGGCGACTCACTGGTGAGTGGCATAGAATCTATGTCATAGATCCACATAGATCACCACGATCAGTACAGGCAGGTATGACAGGTATACTTCGTCTGTGCTCGTGGTAAATATAACCTTATGTTGTCACATTAAATTTATAAATCAAAATATTGTTTTTGTGAGACATTGCACAATGGTTTACCTTGTAAATATTATGAAATTTCTGTACCATAGTAGTAATCCATTTATGTTCAAATCGTCTAATAAAATCTGTCGAAATGTACCTTATAAATTTTTTAAATTTCCAATGATAAATTGTTGTAGAAGTTATTGTATCATTCTCGAGCCTGAGGAAAATCAAAAACAGAAGAAAATAAAAACACCAAGAATCCCTAAGATTACACTGATTAATCTTGATCAATCTAAAACTATTGTTCTTTTGGAGGATGCTATGAAACTTGCTAAACGCAACAATTTTCACTTAATTAAACTGTTATACACTGATGGAAGTGATGAAAGAGAGGTTTATAAGCTGTGTACTCATAAAGAGATTATTGCAAACGAAACTGAGAGAAATGACAACGTTAAAAACCATGAATCTATCAAATTTAAGAGTTTTAAGGTTTTTTCCATAGACACCAAGATTACAGAATATGACTTGGATGTAAAACTAAAAAATATCAACAAGTTATTGCAAAAGGGACACCGGATAAAACTTCTACTAAAACATTATGACAACCAAAAGGTAAAAAAATCATTCCTCCAATGAAAAATATATTTGTATTCATAAGTTTTAGCATTTGAATGTTGAAATTCTTTACAATATTTGGGCCCCTATAAATTCTTTTTACAATGGCTAAAGTATATGAATAAAATGACAAATTTATAAGAAATTATTTGACATTTGAATTCTACATTTATTCATTTTACAACTTCTAACTGTAAGAAAACATATCGATTATACAATATATGTTTTACATGAGCAATCTGTTGTATCATATTGTGAAGATAAATTTTTTATCGATTTATTATTTAGAATACCAAATTGTAGATTAAAAAAGTTAGAGTTCCAAGAAGAAAATTTTCAAGTTTCCAACAATGAAAACATAAATGAAATAATAATTTTGCTGTACATATGAACATACATGTTAATATTGATTTTACAGGAACAATTGTTAAAGCATGTAAAGTGTAAAGTAGAGGGAACTATAGCAGTAGAAAGACAAAAGGGTAACTGTGTCATTTGCACATACCATCCTGTATTAAATAATGCCAGTGACAGTTCTAAGAAAATATAGCTACAAATTGCTAACTAGAAAAATGCTTAAATTTTCAATAGTAAGAAAATGTGATATAATGTAAAATAATGTATTTTACTAAATATTGCATAAATATATGTATTGTGCGAGTTAAATATCAATAATGTGAAAAGCTAGAGCAACAATACATAGAAATTGCTGTAATCTGTGTTTTATTGTAGTTCCAGTGATGTACAAAGAATCATTTCCAATTACTTCATTAAATATATTAAATGACAAAGTGAACAGTATTTATTTCTTGGATTGAAAAACATTACACCTAAGTATTAAAATGAGATTCAAAACAGCTTTCTACTGTTATATTGACAAGTCTCTGTAAAGTCGTTTTACAGTTCATTAAAATCCATATTTCAAATAATACTTTGATAAAACTTCACATTTCATAATTGTACTCAATTTCGTTATTATCAATGCTATGTTAGCATTAAACAAGGAACAGAGTTTTGAACTTCATTTTGTCTTATATTGCGTACAGTATCGTTATTGTCGAATAAGAGTGATGAAATCACTGTTTTAATATTTTTTGCTTAATAATAAATAAACATCTTACTATCTACCGATATGTTACTTATTTCATTTAATCGGTAATTATAGTTAACAAATATGTTCTCAACAATGATAGAACTTGTCTAACTGAATTGATGTAAATCTTAAGATTTTATGATTATAATAGATTCTAATTGAAACATTGGTCTTAAATTGAGATCTATATTTTCTTAAATCTTTACATTGTAAATGCCGCAAATATATATTTTATAATACTTCTATAGATCAATATGAATGACTATTATAAGTGGGCCATTTTAGTCCACAAAATATTCGAGAAACTGCATTTTTAAGTACTTGTTTTTTAATGTACTTTTCCACATGAAACGTATTATTTCCTTTGTATATATATTTCTTTCTTAAATTTTTGTAAAATTTACAATCTAATAGTCAAATATTAAATCTAGTATGTTTAGAAACATAGTTACCAGAAACCTTGATAAATTATATTTTTTTTTATACTTATTGACCTGCTTTTTATTGTTTTATAAGTAACTGGAATGCAGTTCTCTTGGATTAGAGAGAAAATTATTGAATTATAAAAGTTTAATATTTATTACTTTTTTAATAGAATTCTAAATGAGAAAAGGTTTGTGACACCTAATACCATATCTAATTAACATCCTTTGTAAGATTCCATAATTTAAAATAAGAAACTATTATATGAAATGTGGTATGAGTTTTCTGTGCGTTATATTAATTAATCTACAACTTTATCATATATATTTTTAATTAACTGCCATACCATAAATAAAAAAGAGCATCATATTTTCTTTGGTACAATTGTTTGTCTAATGATAATAGCATCACTTCACCATTTATACAATTGTAATTATACCGAATGCTCTGTTATTAAAGCATAGAAAACACCTAACCTGAATCAATACTTCAATACAATTCATCAAGTGCTATAGAAATCTACTTTATAAAATGTTATATTTTTTTAATTGTTTTCAAAAGTTTCTATTGATTGTCATATAGAAAGTACAGAAATTTTAATGTATTAGATGATATTTATTATAACAAAACTTCATTTTATGATAAACTTTTATTGCACTTGATTTATTGATACGTGACATGCTTTAAATGATACCTAAAATTTAAATATTTTCATGGTACAAATGAAATAGAAAATGGATATGTAAATAATTAGATAAATATTATTACGGACACTCTATTCTGTGACATTTTTTGTACTCTACGAGAGCAGGGCACAGCTTGCCCCTGGGACCTAGGGGACGAATTTTGACTGTTCTTATCCTGTATTCTGATGCCTCTCCACAAGTTGCTGAGCAACGTGACCAACTGGACCATTGTGTCATTTTGCAATCAACTGAAACTAATTAAACAAATCATTATCCTGTATAGATTCATTTGAGCATGCACGTTACACGATTATTACACTACCATATTACCTACGATAGGTTCATAACAATACTGTCCGTATTTTCTAAAAAAAAACTTAATGATATAATATTATTTTGAATATTTAAAACTTACTTTCATTTTCTTCTGCTGCTGAATTTCGGTCACGGTAAGTACGCCGACCTGGTCCGTCGCCTTGTAGGGCTGCGAATTATATATTTATTTAATTATAGCGCGATATTAAAATTGCATTAGGTTCACTCGTTATAGCACTTACAGCACGGTGGAATTTTGTGGCATTTTTTTTTACGATGACGTTTCTTTGGACAATTTTTGCCATTACCTCTCGGTAAAACCTACGTGAAACGCCAAAACAGTTGAATGAAAGTTTAAGTGGCTTTTTTTAATTATTTCAATATTAATAAAGTTATTAGCGGCTTTGAAGCCCTTTAATTATTAAATATTTATTTTTTTTATTTTTGTTTTATAAACGCCAAAGGAATATTTACCGTAATATCTCTGGTACTAACTGTGTATCCTCTACAACCTATGCATTTCGACCACTTACTCCATTCGGACACCTCGCAATCGACACTTTCCATGTTGTCAGGCGATTCTATGACCTGACTGTCGGCCTCCATGCCTTTGAACATTAGACTTTCTGTAAGAAAGAATATCAGTGAATTTCACATTATAAGTAACCATTGGTTTAAATGAAAAATACAAAGAATTATAATTATGTGATGTGGAGTCGAATCAAGATCATTCGACTGTTTAAAACCATCTTTGCGAATGTTTAGACAGCTTTTCGATGACTTTGAACGGACGAATGATTTTTGTTTCGACGTGTAGTAGTCAGCGTCACCATAATGAGCTCGTTTCGTCTTCCCGCTGCGCTGCTCCTGCGCGGGTATATGATAGCTGAGAACGCTGCTGAGAGACACCTTATAGCTTTTCACCGGTGTTGATGAGTTTGTTCGTAACTCTCCTTCGTTTGTTTAACGAGCAAGCGTGCGCAAAGCAAGGTAGAAGATTTTGTTACAAAAAATGACTATAACAATCCTTTCGGGAAGTTATTTACAAGTCACTTTACAATTTTGGAAATTTCAATCTCATTGAACAATGTTAATCATCAGAGGCTTTTATTGAATATTTTCAACATTTTCTCAAGGTCCTCGATATCGCTTAGGCAACGATGCGAAACTTACTCTGGTAATCGTTGCAGACATTGTTGCAGTCCTGTTCAGTCTGAAAATTATTGCGGTTTCCATCGCAGCCGGAAAAGCTGAATAATCGACAGCGGCGCGACTGTGTGTCAAAGTAGGCCCTTAAAATATTGCCGTTACAACTTCCTTTCTTCATCGGTTCACTGCAAATATCTGAAATCAGTTCAGTTCCTCGTCACTTTTCCTGGCACAATCAGAGTATAAACCATAATTTTTTGTAAATTAATTCAATTGTAAACCTTGCGATACACAATGTTATTAAATACGTCAGATTTTTAATCGGATATAATTATGTTCGACTCACGTTCTGCTTCTTCCTTTGAGAAATCACATGTTGGAATATTAGCCACGCAGGCAGCCTGCTGTTGTTTGCACTCTTCGAGGCTGACGTCGTCGTCCTTGTCCCCCAAACTGCTCCAATTTTTATCCACGAGTCTGGATCTCAGTTGTACCCCAGGACCACAACTAGAGCTGCACGGAGACCAGAGGGACCACGGCGTGTAGCGATCCTCGGGACACTTCTAACGAGTAAATCAACGAAAATTATACTCTCTATCAGGAGTTCTAGTCCTTTCTGAGCAATTAATCCTTTGCACTTGCCTTGAACATTTATTACACGTACCAATGAATATCTTAAGAACTGTCTCAGCGTTGTCATTTTTAAGTAATTTGTCAGTGTCCAATTCGTATTTTTAGTTTTCGATGTTTGATTTTCAAGTTGGTGTTTCATACAAATCGGAATAATACAGATGTAATTTAGTAACAAGCCAATAAGTGCAAACGGTTAACATGCTAGTCTTTTCATTAATTTTTTATCAGGTTTTTCTAATTTCTCGTTCAGTTTGTAGTTGTCAAAAATGTCTTTTTTATATACATTGACGCAGTAAGAACGTTCGCAACGATCTTGTAAAATTAGTGGTATATAATACATCATGAAAAACAAGTTTAGTTCACATTATGTACTTTGAAACAGTATGTATAAATGAATAAATCATAAATGAAGCTGTGTATGTACAAATGAACATTAGTGAAAGGTTTCAAAAAATGAAATTATCAAACGAAGCTGCGATATTGATAATGCTGTGAATGAAAGTTATTTTTAATTAACGTAATGGTACTGAATAAACCGAAAAAATATAACACTACATTCATTCAACAGAGATAACGAACGATCATAATGCTGGACAATAATAATGAGTATTATTATTTGTGAAAAAATATCAGATTAAATAATAGTTAATTAAAATTCTTTTTAATTTCACTTAAACACTGATTAATTAATCTTCAAAGTCTAAAAGAAATGATATGTACAGGAATTTAAGATATATCAATTTTGAATTCTTCTCAGTAACAGACAACAATTTTCGAGATCTTTTCATTCATTCCCGTTTCACATACGTGGATCATCGTTTTCGGTTTCTCGTGAGTAAATCGACTTACGTGAGGATGCCAGTGCCATGGATGCATCTGCGAGAAATGGTGCAGGTATGAATTATAGTTATACTCTGTTAGTAATGATTCGAATGTTGCTCGAGTTATTAAAAGAAAAAAACGTTCAATTAGCGGTTCATAATTTGTTGAATATGTTAGTGATTTTCATGAATGGTAAAAGTTCTTCATCCTTCTAAGTTAAACAATTTCGAAACTCATCGGATCTCAGAATTTTTCCGTATTGACTTTGTTATTATAAACGTCAAAAGAAGACAACTTCCATTCAGCTTCAACTCATTTTTCTCAAAATTGGATTTACACTACGTTAAAAAAAAAATGACTCAAATATCAACATTTTCAAAGTATTCTATTACAAATGACAATGATAATAACAATAATAAAGTCTCGCTTAACTCTGTGAAAAGTAAACCAGATACTACCCGTTCCGCTCTTATAATGACATCGTCCTAATATTATACAATGATCCCAGTCCAAGCTGTTATTGTTACCAAAATGCAACGTATACTCTGCGACAATTGCAACAACGTAGCCGGCATGATTAGCGACACGTTCTGATGAATGTCCCCACAGGGATTCCGTACCTGCAGCCATTCCTCGGTTACCTCCACCGCCGGTTCCTCTCCCTCGTAATCCTCTCCGTCACCATTGTCTTCCTGTTCATCATTCTCATTGTCCTCCTCCTGGCTAGATGGTTCTCTTACCTCGTCGAGATCCTCGTCCGGGCACGGAACGTTCTCGCAACTGATCGTCTGCTGAAGTTCCGGCCCATCCGGGATCGCTTTGCACTGTTTCCGGTGCTTCTTCTCGCGGAAGTTCCGCGATCTCGTTTGATGGCCGGGGCCGCATGTCGTCGTGCAAGAACTCCAGCTGCTCCACTCGTCCAGCGCGCACATCTCGGTCTCCAGTAAACCAGCGTGACGGCCTGCTTTGCTGCTGAAACGAATCGTGGTACCGTTTTATGATCGAAGCTTCGCAACCCTGGTGGTGAGTCTTTATGGAATTTTCTGTTGTTTAACTATTCCCGAAATTACCAATGGGGACTTTTCCCGTAACATGTCGCCCTGTCAGTTAAGTTGGCGCTGCACTTGTTCAGCGAGGCGGCGACCTCGTCCCGGTAATGCCTCTGTCTGAGCTGACTGCCACGACCGCATGTCACCGAGCACGCACTCCAAGGACCCCATGGTGTCACTCTGCAGGCTTCTGCGTATGTCAGAAAGTACATAGCTCGTCAACGTCACCACTCGAGACCTCACACTTCGTTTTAATTACGCGAACCCCACTGACGAGAGCTTTCCACTGGCGGAACAATTTTGGGGGTTGTTTTATGTATATGTATAGGATGTTCAGCTACTGGTTGTCAGAAAATTTAAGGGACGATTCTAGATGCCAAAGTAAGACTGTAATCTAGAATAACGAAATTGCACGAAGCGCTTAGCTTCAGAGTTATTGATTGTCGAAAGTACGGGTAAGATACGTCTGATGCGATGGGTTATTCTACTGAAACGATTCCCGAGCCCGTAAATTCAAATTACGTTAAAAGATATTCCACATGGGTTTATTTTTGTCGAGAACCATATTTGTATCAACATTCAAATACTGACAGGCAAAATAGTAGATTATTCTTGTTCTGTTCTGACTGTTAAATTTTTTTTTCATTAACGGCAATGATGGTACACTACATACAATACAATTATAACAATTCATCAGGCATTCAACTACTATGAACGCACTAAGTTAGAATGCAAACCAACATTATAAATAAATTAACAAAATATATCCGACTACGAAATGAGGAATCTGGTTGAATCGTGAATGTTTCAAGTACGAAGAATAAAAAAATGAATTTTTACATAATAATTTTCTATTAAATAAGAGTTCCTCGTAATATTTGTAAACCTAAAAATCACTCACGATTCACCAGCCCCACATTCAATTTCTATAAATAAACAAGCGAACGCAAAAAAAATTGAGACTACTTTCAAGCTTCGTTTACCTCAATTTCCGTCGAGTCAGCTTGAACATCTTTCACAGCGATTAAGCAAACATTCCATGACACAGCGAGCTCGAGAGGAAAGAGATATTTCTCGAACGATCATGCTACTCGGCTGCACTGAGCGCGACACTAAATGTGTTATAGTGAAAGGTAATCCTCGCCTAACACTGCTTACGTTTCCGTAAAAGCTTGCTCGGTGTGAACCCTGTCGTACATGATTAACAACGAAAACTTGGATGGAACGCGGTAAAAATTAATATAAATATACATCATTTTACTTGTATAAATTGCAGAAATGAATCTTATATTAAAAATCGTTTTCATATTTGTCGTCGAATTATCACAAGAAGACAAATGAGTAAGTTGTATTCATTATTGTACGCCTGTCGCCAGAAATTCTCTGTCCACTTCCGGTCGCCCATGTTCACGGATCAAAACGTAAAAAAACACAACAGAATAAGCGATACTTGCTATTTTTTCGGTTACTGCCTGGCTGAGGGGTAGTAGCACCTGTATCAGTCGTTTCATCGGTCGCGTCGTCGCAAGTCTTCTCGTAGAGTCTCTGCCGATTTAAATAAAGTCTGGCGAGAGGTTTCATGTCCAGGCCGAAGGGATCATAGAATGGAGACCTTGAGTCGTTTGGGTACGTCGATGTTATGCGACGAATAGGCTCTTGCGGATCCGATTCCGCGTCTGGTGACTGTGAAAATATTTATTATATTTTTTAACACAGGTACACTTGGATTTTCATGAAATCACATTTTATATGATCGTTATAATTACTATAATACACAGTGTGTTAATAACAACGTGGGACACTTTAATACAGGGTGGACTTTCGAAAAGATAACATTGGCTCAAGAAATATCTCAAGTTTTCGATTATTTTCATCGATTTCATTGTTCATCGGTATCGTATTTTTACAAAATTGTAGGACCGTGAAACACTATTTTCTCCGTGGTTTTCATCCGTTTCCACCAACCCCCCGGTTGCAGGACGAGAAATGGCGCGCTTTTCAGAGAACCGGAAGGCAGAGACGTCGCGACGCGACGACGGAAAATTTCCGTTCGACCGGAAAAGTGTCGAGGGGCACGTTTCCTATGGCGTCGTCAGCGATTTTCACGCGATCCGCACCTCTATTGTCAATTGTTAGGGACGGAACCACCCGTCATATTTATTATGCCATTTTCTGCGGCCGACAGTTGACGTTCATTTCGCTTTACCGAAATGGCTACGCGTAGAAATATAGCGTGGTCGATGAAAATCGCATTTTTCTCAACGATAGGATGTTTAATGATCTGTTTCGATTACTCAATTATTTTTCAATGTTTAACATCGATTCTGTGAATTTTTTAAATGTTATGTACGGTGTTAGTCAAAGTTATGTTAATTCACTGTATCACTGTGTCATTCTCAAATTATATATCCATATGTTTACATTTTAAATCTATTATCAGATTTATACAAATACAGATTTCTTCGAACAAATTTCCAAAGAATGAAATATACTTTCTTCCTGTTTTTAAGGTTTCATGGCGTTCAGATGATAATACAAATAGTGTACGATTTTTATTTTCTGTATTGTATTTCGAACATTTACATTTGATAGAAATGCATAAACACCCGCAATCTACTGATGATAAAACATTTACGTGTGTGTTGCATTTAAAGTGAGTAAACAAGTAGAATTCTACTTACTAAATAAGTGATCCCGTCATCAGTGCCCGCGTCGTAAGGATAAAGATTCAGCTCCTTGTGCTCGATCCACGAGCGATTAGAGAGACACAGCTCCAGACCCGAGACTCCGACTATCCAATCCGGGGAGGGGTCTGAAAAATGATTTTTAATTCCCATATCGCGGTCGACTAGACAGAATGTTTCGTTAGTTGGTCAGGTACTTCGGAAAGTTTCGATTAAAATGCGCTGCGTTTCTCGAGACTTTTAAAAACCATCGTAGTAATTTAAAAGTACTTTCGCGTAATGGAGGAACGTCCATTTTCGAGACTTTCCGAGATTATTATCGATTCACGAACTTTAGATACCTACGCCAGGAATTAAAGCCGGCATCGCGTAGACATTCTACCAGTTATTAAATCTTGTGTGCATTTGATACGTAAATTTTATTTAATTTCTTTTGTGTTATAATACATTCTTACTGTAATTACATTATACATATTTTATTCTTTTATGGTATTAAAAATTGCCTAAAAATGGAATAAAAATATGCTGATAGCTACGTAACTTCAGGAATTTTTCCGTACACGTTTTTTTGTGATAGAAAAAATTCCCTGGGAAAATAATCTTACCAAGCATGGACACCAAGGACATGAGATGGTGCTTCCGGTCGACGCGGAACACTGCAAAAGTTTTGCCAGTGACGTTGGGGTAGCTTATACCTCTAGCTTTAATTATCGTCCGGATATGCTCGCTCTATAAAAAGAAATTAAGAGCCGTCCGTACATCTGTTTTCCCAAACCACAACACTAATGTATTGCGAGATTTCGTTTTCATAACTCTGATTGTATTATTTTAATTTTCTTCTAAGTAGTTCTATAGTAAAGAATATGGGAAATACCTGAACTAATAATTTAATAATTTAATTGTTTTAGAGAAGTTGATAAAAAAATCTAATAAGCATTTGTAATTCTAGTTTGTAAAGTTTGTATGTCGAAATAATTGTTGCAGAATAAGATAAATCGTTAATACAGATCGGTCTGGAAATATTTACTTCCTCTTTTAATTCTGATTCCAGCTTCCTAGTCGATCCAAGTTCAGCGACTTGTCGCAAACCAATGCTGGCCATGCCGTTGTACCTCCAAAATCTGTAATCTACCGTATGAGATGCTCCAATCACATCTGAGAATCGAATGAGCCATCCCTTGCTAGGGAAGTCCTGTTCAAACATAACAAATCAATTAATTAAACGTTAATTTTGTTGCCATTTTATATTTATCGTGAAATCACTGTTGACGTTTATGTAATTTCATCTGTATTTATTCAATACGAAATTTAGCTGGGATGTATACACTGTACCTATTAATGAGACAATTCAACGATACCACAAGCGTAAATTTTCTGTCGATTTCATATGTGTTAACAAATGTGTTTATGGTTTTTAATTTTCTACGATAATATTTCCCATTTAATTCCACGATCCATGATTACCAACGAAATAATCGTCATTACGGGTTATGTTTTCGGGTGTAGCAGCAGTTATATGCAAATTCAACGAGTAAAATGGGTGGACTTCCATAGAATTTTCGATTAATATGGACGTCGAAGGATCGCAGAGGTGTGCAAACAGAGATGAAATAGGTATAGTGACGAATCGCCTGGATTTACGAAGTGTCCCGTATAAATCATATCAGCGGAATAAATTTATCTGTTAATCATATCGACTATAAAAGCCAAAGTTCAATCAGAGTAAAAGGAGATCTTTTTCCTTCTCTATCGGTCGAGACACTAAGACATCGAGTGCATTCTCTATACAAGAATCCTAAATACGAGGGGATCGATAGCGTGGGGGATCTTACGTGCCTTAGGGTGGGTATTTCTCGACCAAAGTCCTTCGAAAGTAACTTCGTACTTTGCCTCGTCGCAGGCGTAGCACTCTTGCAACACCGGGCCTTGATCGTCCGCCTCGGCCCTCGAGTCCTGGCAGATCTTCAGAGCTAAGTTCGGATCATCCATGTACCACGTATCCGGCGTTTCCAATATCGTTGCCCTGTGCTCCAGAGAAAAAAAAAAGAAAAACGCAACACGAACACGCGTTATTGAGACTGCGACCGAAATTTCACTAGCCGATCGTCGATTGAGAACCATTGGCCGAGATGTTCGTAGGGTCGGAACGGGGTTTGGAACGTCTTTAGAATTTCATTGGAAAAGAGTATTTTAATATTACCATTATCGTGTTATTGTATTTTAGTACTATTTCTGTTAAAAAAAAGAAAGAGTTAAATTACTGTTAAATAAAATTCTAGACACGTTGCATTGTTTTTCACGTTTATATTTTATTTCCAGATCTGAAGTATGATAATAAAAAATTTACGAATTGCTACTTGAGAACAACGTTTGAAGAGAATTTTGAAAGTTGTTGAAGAAGGAATAGACAACACGTTTATTCTTCATGCTGGTTAATAAAATGTCCCTTCACCTGATAAATATGCAACCGCTACCTTCGGAAGGACTAGTCCAGGCCACAAAAATTTCCTCCTTTGGCACCTTCGAGGTTTCCACAACGGCGTTCGGGCAAATTTCGGAGTACCTCGTCAATGACTCGTCCTGGAGATCGAAGACACCGCTATCTGAACCATCGTCGTCGCCTTCAGGTTCGCTGGATATCAGAAATCTAGTAAATCTCCTCGGGATCATTCCGATACCCTCCGCTTGCAGGGTCACTGAAACAAACATTTCTGCATTATTACTAAACTCCGGATTTTTCCAAATATTGGGTCGAACAGAAAGTTTTTTTCGCCTTATCTTTGTACGTATAGACAGTGGAGTACTTCAAACGACACATAATTAGAAGACTTCATGGCGAGTACTGCAGTGATAATAATTCGTAAGCCCCCTTATTTCGAAATATTCAACTTACTTTCCGTTTTGTCAATTTTATTGGAGTAACCGTTACATTTCTCTGATGAGTAAATGTAATAACATTCACTCTAAAATTGCTCCATTACATATATATGTATATGAATGTAATACAGTAACATGGAAGGCCACTAACGATTCATGTATTTCACATTGCAGCACTGAAAGGATTATTAATTCAAATTTTCGCGATCGAGAAGCGTACCGAGAATTACGCGAACTGAAACGAATAATTAACAGCGTGTTTTTGTTCATGATAAAATTAATTTAATGCAGTTCAATGTAATTGTTGGACGTTACATTTGTGAAATGTTTGAAAGAGAGGCTAATACGGCCTGGCGGTGGTAAGAGCGAATAAAACTGGGACCGAAATCAGTTTCGCGGTGCACGCGAATTTTCGATCGATTAAATTCTACGCCCCGTGTTTTCTGTAATCTCCATGTATCGAAGGAATATTCGTGTGTCTAAAATAGAAATATAGAAGCTCGCCGCTACGTGGCCTGCTATTTATAACTCGGATTAAACGCGATATACGATGAACCCGGTGAAATATCGGACATTTCCAGCAATTTTTTTCACGTTTCCTGCAGACCACCTTGTTACATTAACAAAAAGAAACAAAACGCGCGAGTTATGATCAAAGCATGAATTCCTGTTGTTGAAAAGAACGAGAAAAAGTCTCTATAATTTACAGCATTTCAGAGTCACAATTGAAATGAAAAAATTTTCGAATTCTGAATCATTTTTCGCTATTAATCGTTCGGTTATGTTGTAAAAATTTATAATAGGGTATTCCTTTGTAAGCCCATCAAACAGACAGCAACAAACACCTTTTTAGTTGCACAAGAAAATGTTTCGCGTCTTTTCCAGTCGATTTTACATCGACTGGTGCGTGTGTACCAGGGTCGTAACACGCAGATGTTTAGAGCATTTATGGCTTCCAGTATTATGGGTCTTCGCGGACCGCGTCTGCATCGAATACATATTCAACTGCCACTTAAACCTCCCCCGATAACAAATATTTTTCACGGGAAATCGAATTCCTGTTAATCAAATCGTGCATCGCATTCGATCGTTTCATTCGGGTTAATCCGGTTTATACGAGTGTCCTCCCTTCTTTACGGCGAATAATTGAAGGAAAATCAAGCTTACGTGCCGGTTAAACGAAGCGATTTCATCGACGGGCGTTCGTCGACGAATTTTTACTTTTAAACTTTCGTGAAAATCTATTTTCTAACTAACTACACTAGTAAATTAAAGTGAATAGTAATTAATATTTTCTATTAGAAATTCAGAATCCAAATAACGAGGGGAGGTTAAGTATTTTTGCCATTTACGATAAACAATCTGGCAAACGTCGGCGTCGCAACCAGACAAAGTCGCATAAATCTGGATGTGGACGCATTCAAGCATCTCGCAGTCATTAATATTCGGAGTTGCGTCAGAAAACAGTGACTCATGACCTCCCACGATAATTCCCATAACCCTGAATTAGAAGAATTAACTGCAAAAAATAGTGAGGGAGGGAGGAGGAGGCAAACAGAGTTAAGTGAAACCTTCATTGGGGTATCGTGTTTCCCACGCCAATGCGCGTAAAAATGGCAGGAGAGGAGTCCAGTCTTTTCGATTTTCCAACTACGTTTCGACAAATCTTATTTAAACAATTAAGAAATATCTATTACCTACACAACTTCACTATGGTAGCGGCCAGCAATGGATGTTCGACAAGATGAGCTTTTGAAATTAGCAAATAACTTTTCAATTTTTAGTGTACCACCTCAAGTCAGACAAAAATGTACTTTTCCAGGTTCTAAGTTGAAAGTATAAGAAATGTTTTATTATTTCTTGTGCATTCACGTGTTCTGTATGACGAAAATGGACAGTTTAATTGTTCGCCAAGGGAACAGAATATTTGTAAAAAAAGAAGGGAATATCGAATCGTTCGAGCTGAAAATCGATTCGATAAAGCTTGCACTCGGTGGCACTGTCTCGTGAATTTAGTTGTCACGCTGCTTGATCGCCTCTACGTTTACGTCTTTAGAAACCTTTCGAACGTAAATCACGGAGATTTGTTGTCTGCACGAACAAGTTTAATCGAATTCCGGATAATACGAGTTCTTGCCTTCCGTTTTTTTTTCTTGCCTGACTTTATTCCCTTTACCTTGCTTCAATTTTTTACGTTTCAAGACACTAGACATTACATTTTTTCAGTCTTTTTTCAAATTAACTTCTTCTGTTTAAACGTCTTCTTGTAAGACATTGTATTTTTTCTAAAAAAAATATGTGAACAGTTTATTTACCGTATTACCCATCAATTTATTTACTTTCTTCAAGTTTTCGAGTGCTATCGTAAGTCTTAGAATTTCTGTCCATTGTACGATAATGTTGATAGTGAAATGTTCATTCAAGTCAAACGAAGAGAAATGGTGTCAGAAAGCAAGAACCTACAAGCTGAAACGCAACGATTATTTCTTATCCATTAATTGTGTCTAAAGTTTAATTGAGTGGATTCAGTTTATACAGTAGAGGGTGCACGACAGGGTGTAATTCGATTTGCCTGCGAGAATTACGTTAGAGGCAAGCTTGTGCTGTTATTTGTTTTCTAAATATCTTAATCGCATAGACAGTATCTAATTGACTGTCATTAATAACAACTACTTTAAATTTATATAATTCCTCCACCAACAATGTGATTATTATACTGATATTTAATGCAAATATATATTTGATGAATTAATTTACAGAAGACGAAATGAAACAGAGATTTGTTTACTCTGTTCAAAGGCGTTCAAATTTAAGCAATTCACTAAACTCTTCATTGTACTGAATTTTAGACAATCGACGAGTATATTACAGATCCATAAAATCCTCAGTTTATTGATCAGTAAAATACATAAAAAAAAAGATAATAAAATCGATATAGTTCCAAGTTAACTTTATGCTTCACGATATTCTTCGTAAATTATATCTCTTCTATTTCACGTTTCGATGAGCGAATATACAAGAAGAAAAATACATATTTCTAGTGTCATCCCCCATTGGTAGACCAACTATTAAGCAACTCTGCGTTCGACGTTTTATTTTTAAAGGTTGAATATGAAGAATGGCGGGTTTTTGATTGCCGCAGGGGCGGAGGGTAGAAGCTGAATTCAGTTTGCCCCGCGTCCTTACCATTCATTACTCTTTTTGCTCGGGGTCTGGATTTGAGGGATGATCATAAACCGCATTCTCTACTGTTGGTGGTTCCATTGTTTCTTTTTTTTCGCCCCTACAGCATCGCAACTACTTTCACGCCACAAAGGAAGATTAAAAGTTCCTTCTCAAGATCGGAGGCAGCTTGTTAAAGAAAACTCTATATTCTCTTGAAACAGGCTCGACACATTTACAGTTTCATTTTCGTTTTCCCATCAGAAATCTTACGGAAGTCTCATTTCCCAGTCAGAAACATTGTGAATAAACTGTGAATGTTTATTAACGTTCATATGCTTAGAGACTTCTTTACGAAATATAACATCGAACAGGGATACGACGATCTTTTGAGAGGAATTCTATTCGACTAAAAACAACATAAAGATTCCACTAATCTTCAGGTGATTCGATTATTCTACTTCAGCTTTCAGTAACCTTTCGTTTTCTTAGTTTCGTGTTCTTAATTGTACAAAAGAGTCATAACAGGATACTTTATACTTATTATTTCTACGAAACTTTAAAGAAATAACATTACAAGGACAAAGAAACGTAAGATATTTAAAGAAACCCGACATAAGTTTCAACAAAAATTTTCGTGAAAAATGGAAGAAATTGGATATACATGCTTGTGGATATAATTCTGGACCACTGTGACCTGTCTTGAACGTGTTAGTAACAAAGGGACCTAAACAATGTAGAAACTGTGGGTGTTTAAGGTGTTAACGTTCACCTAGCCGTCTCGTCGCTCTCGGGCGAAACGCAGCGTGCAATTATCGAAAGCTAAGCCGGCTCGTGGACCGGCGACGATCCACGGCCACTAACGCATGCAAATTCAACGAGTCGGTGAATTAATGCGTTACGTAACGGCTGGCCGTTAGCCAGGTGAGAACTCTCCGTGGATGCAGTTCAACGAATGCACAGAGTGTAACCGGCGCGACGCCGAAGAACGCGATGAAATCACGGCGGACAATAGACGTTCCCCGCAGGGGAATAATGAATTCTTCGTCAACTGAACACATACACGCACACACACATACACAGAACGGTGTTGATCGATCCCGCCGATGTTCAAGGTGTCGAGTCCCGTTTTGCAGTTCATAGTGAAGAAAAAAGTATAACTATATAGAGGCTGTATCTGAAATGATTGGTGTGAGCTGTATGTGTCAAAGGAAGAAACAAAAGTGAATTCGAATCTATGAATTTTATCGGCACATTGATCGAATCTCATGGGGGACATCGACCATCTGTTTAAAATTTATTTTTCTGACGTTAACATTTGTTTCTGGACGTACAAGGGTGTCTGTTTTAACTGGGCTCGGTGGAATATGTCGTAAAGAACTGATGGTATCAGAAAAATCATTTGGTTGTTTGGTATGAAGAAGGACATAATGTGGTATAAAACTCTAGTATTTAGGTATTTATGATATGCTTCGATCGAATAAAAAATCTCGAAATGGAATGGATCGTTCATTCGCCGCCATAAATGATTCCTACGGGAATCGTGGACCGATATTTCACACGCTTTACCGCCTATCGAGATTCGCGGATAGTGATCTCTGGCAATCGCGCAGTCACATTATCGATATCTATGTATATATCTCACGAATGGACGTCGTTGAACTCTGAATAGGCTGCGGGGAAGAAGGATTTCTCGCCAACCGTTTCTTTCAGAAAGATAATGACGGCAATTATCGAAATAACCGTGGATTCCCGTGCATGTTGCCATCTTGCGCGCGCGAGATACGGTTGAATTGCGAGCAGTTCTGACAGTTCACCACCACTTGAGTTGAATTACCTCCTGAATTTGGAAAATAGGGGTAGTTTCTGCTGAACGAGAGGCTGGCTCTTTCTTCGGGTTATTAGTTCAATCTCAAATTCCTGCATTCGTTTTATCCTCCACTTGTTTTTATGAATTTATCTCGATGCTACCTACAATCTCAGATAGAAAAAATTCTATGATGCAATGTAAAAAAGTGAAAGATCAACATAAAATTGTTAGGTAGTAGTAAACCAAAAAACACGTTCTTCAGAGGAGCAACAATGTAAATAACGTTATTTGTAACGCGGTGCCTAGTCGAATAAGAATAAATATCGTCGACATGAAACCTATTGCATTGTGAACTGAGCACGTATTTGTTTCGGTAATTTCAGTACCTAATTAATTAACAGCCTGGAAACAGTGAAGCTGCACAACCCCTTCATCGCATGGTTTTCAAACAAACAAGCAATTTGTAATCTCCAAGAGTCTGAGTCCCTATTTAACTATTCGAAGTAGAAGCGAACGAGAATTAGAAGTTTTCCACGGACTTGGATCAAGCTCGGCTAACTTTCTCGAGCAGAGTTCATTACGTCCGGCTGCCGTTTGTCAGATCGGACGTGAATTAATTTTTCTAGTACCTTATGCTCGGTGAAAATCATCGCGATTTAAACGTTCGAAGATCGAACGCGACTCGAGGGCGAAAGTTTTTTAATATGGTTCATTATCGAGACTAGACTCATTTGAAATCCGAGGATACTTCTACGTTTAAACGACGATATTTCGAAATAGTTTTATTTTACGTTGAAAAATGTGTAATTATGGTTTGTTACACAGATACGAAACCTTTCAAAGTAATTTGATTAACAGCACATCGGGGTGCACACCAAATGGGATATCAATCTGTCTATTAGAATTTGAGATCTATTAAGTTCTAATAAAAGTGTAAAGTTTTGTGAAAAAAAATATGCTCACCAGTATATCGGGTATTGGGCATGTACGAGAAGACCATTTCCGTTCGGTTGAACAGCGTGATGAAGAGATGGTATCTCCCATCGGCGTTCGACCGTGGCATGGTGGTGCCGTCTATGAGTCGGCTGCATTTGGACGCACTTGTGCTCGTTACCGCCGCCAACAGCAACAAAAAACAGCGGACGGCCCTTAAGCTTTTTAGACCCTGTGAAAAGGAAGTGCAAGGTCGTCATTAAACCGTGAAATTTTCGTCCCGTTGAACGTATGCATCGAGTATTTTACGCTTATGAAATCCAATATGACGCTTGCATAACTGCTTTTTTCAAACAGTCAAAATTCAACATATATCACGAATTAAAGCAATATTGAAAATGCACTTTAAATAAAAACTTATCTTTAGTCCTATTTTGTGAGAGATATTTCTTTAAAACGAATATTCCTGTTATGTGTCAGTAGTTATGAATTACTTTTGAGGAATCCAATATCGCGGCTTCATTCTTGTAGACTGGTGGAACATAGTAGAATTTTAAAGGTACCTATAGTTTGCAACAATGTTAAAAGCACGATTTATTGAGAAATATTTAATACTGCGAAGTATTTTGATTAAAATTATGTTCGTAGAATTTGATACGGTGGTTACTTCATTGAAGCCCCTCGGAGAACAGAACTTCCAGGTATTTTGTAATGTAATATTAAACTGTAGATGTTTACCATATTTCGAGGAAATAAATGTTCCCATCACTTCGTTAATAAAATATAAAGTCGCTATATTAATAATGTCACGAGAAATTTGTTTAAGGTCTAAAATTATCATTTGTATTAAATAAACTAGATTTTATAGTAAAGTACAACCTGAATTTCAATTTTTTTCGAGTAAAAGCTACAGATCATAATAACTTGATTGTTTAGATTAATTTTTAAGCTCACGTTTCGGTGTGATTTATCGATATTCGCCGCGGTAAATAAGAATGATGCGTCACTGGCGGGATTAGGATCGGAAACCGATTGACCTAATTTATCCATGAACACTCACGACAGATGGTGGCAGACGGCGAGTTTTCATTTCATGCGAATAGAGGGGATTTCGTTTCTTTTCTGTAGCAGTTACAGGGTAAAAGGGGAGATTCGATGTTCTTTCGAACGTACTCTGCGTCGGGACGAACTCTCGACACGTGTGTGGAACAATCGACGCCATGTTTTCTTCGGAACAAGATCTGTTATTCAGGTGGAGATAGAAAATGGGTTTGTTTGTTACAATTACGGAACAAACTAATGTATCTATTTCTTGAAATTAAATAAAACGTTGCATTATGTAATATTTTATGATGTATAACATTTTATCGATAATCGTTTTTATATAATAGTTGTTCAAACTTTCTTGAGTAAGTTTTTCTTACTTTATTCTATTTTATGTTATTTTCTTTCGTTGAAAGTAGAAATTAATTCTACGAACTCGATAAATTTTTATTCACGTAATGGCAGCAGTACGCATATATTATTGATTTTTCTTACGAACAAGTTTTATTTGTGCTGTAAACGAGCAAGAAAAAGATTGAATTAAATGATCACTAATTTTTTACAAAAAATTTAATTTCATTTTATTTTACAGAAATCGCTCGATGTAAATTATAATCATATTTATTCCCAGAGATTTCTGTCTTTAATAATTAATAAATTAATTAACACTAAATCAACAATATTAATAACAGAATTTCATAATATACTGGAAGTAAAAATAAAGAACACGTTCAGAATGAAAAGCGACAAAACATATAGAATAAAAGGGTTGCATAATTGAACAGCAGAAACTCCCGGGATCCCATTTTCACCGCAAGTGCCCTGGCAACATGCAATTTCACTCTTTTTTTACGAAAGAAAGTGCACACATTTTTTGCGTGAAAACCGTACAAAAACCTTTCATTCGAACCAAATTGTAGGGATTTCCTTCGAAACGCTACAATTCGCTGCGCACGAGTCTTTTTTCATGTAACAATTGGGAGTTCCGTTCAAAATCATGAACGATTCTTTCGACATCGCGGACTATGATTGACGTGCAAAATATTGACTGGCATGCAAACTGAAATTCCAGTTCGCGTCGATGAAGTGCACTCGATGAAAATTTCTTTTTACATACAACCAGAAACACCTCTCGATTATTGTCTGGCTTTGTCTACACAATTATTGTCCAGGCGTCATCCCCACCACTAGGGGGCTAGGGGTGGAACCTATTAAACGCATACTCTGCTGCTCTTCTGCTTTTGTTGCTGAGGCTCGGACTTCGGAAAAAAAACGAATTTATGCGGGTCTGGAGCATTTCTCCTTATAAGATTATTGTCCTGACGCGGACCCGAGTTCGGGACGATAATCGAGAGGAGTCTGTATTTCTATGGTAGAATCTTAAAAACAGATAAGTAGATTTCAAATTACACGCGTACGGAAAAATATTCCACACGAGGATTGACCCATCGATCTTCGTGATTCGCGGAACACGTTGTTACGACATTGATTCTTTTCCGACCCGAGTAAGTGGATTCGCGGCAATCGCCACGGCCAAGATCTTCATCAAGGCAAACGTCAATGATACGATAAGCTGTCGACGTTATGTAAGAGAAAATCGCGTTATCGGTCGTTTCAGCAAGCCGTATGTACGTACAGTGTGATGTGAAAGTATTGAGCTAGGTTCACGGTTCCTGTGCTTTTTATCGTTTTACAAAACAACCGAAGCAATCGTATTTGTTTGCGTCCGATATTTGAGAGTTTTATGCATGTAACGATGTACAAATAAATGTCTGAAAAATATTTTGTATTATTCGGAATAAATTACGGATTTGAACAAGATTTTCTTCAAGGACTCAATCTTTCCACTCAGAACCGAATATGGATTATTTTTCGTATTGTTTCATTATTAATTGCTTGCGATGATAGTTGTAAATATTAACATAATATATGGGGTATATCACTGTCTTCTGCAATAATTCGATACACACTTGAACACACAAGATTGATGAAGAATTAGTAGTTCTGCGGTATCGGTTACTGCAAGTAGAAGTAGTCAGTAATAGACAGACACAATAGCCAGCCAGATTCGCTTTCTTGATCAAGGAATCTTTAAATTACAGTTTCTCAAACTTGAAGCCTTATATTGAAAAAATTTCATTCGATATTTTACTTTCGTTTCATTGCATACAATCACGTTTCTTTCGCGTATATTGAATACAATATTGGAGCCATCTGCATAAATTAACGATTTTTCGATTGTATAACTATTTCTCATAATTACATTAGCTAGGATTGAGTTCTTTGTGGATTGCTAGTTAATTAAAAATTATCTAGTATAAAAATCGTGATATTATGATTTCATTTCTACATGAAGACAAAGAACATATTTTTCGTACTGTGGCTTTAATAATTTGATCACCCAATGCAACTGTGTAATCCGTCGAATTGTGTAACAACAAATATTCGATGGACAACGGCACAAAGCTCCGATACATAAAGTATCACGTTGCTGAGGGTCGATTCTATTGAATTAGAAAGCAGAATATTCTGTAGGGACAAAAGCACGTGAATGCCGGAGGAGGCCGAAGCGTTGCCAACACGTGCGAGAAAACGTGTGTTCGTACTACTTCGTACGCTTACACGCGCGGCCGAACCGCTTAGTGACTCATCTTTGGCAAGGTGCAATCGAACGATTGCATCGCTCGTCTTCATTTTCTCTTTTCATCTTGGGTGTGCGACACTTCGTGACCGTGTCTCTCGAAGACTATCCCTTAAGAAACAACAAGAATTTTGTATTCTTATCGTAACTGTACATTTACTTTAAAACAGAGTTTCTCAACTTTTTATCGGATCATGCCCCATTTCAACGCCTCGAAGATCTTGATACCCCTTTAGCACAATAGTAAACAAAGTTTCGAAAAAGTTTAACATCAATAGCTGCTTCAAATAAAAAAGGCACATAGGTAAAACTGTTGTTGATGAGGTGACGAATGTTAATTGTTTGCCCCTCGGTACGTCTCACGTTAGGAAACACTGCTCTAAAAGTTAAATATTAATACCAACATTTCTTCTTATTTGTTAAATCCATTACGAAATCAACACAGTCTGACTCGATGTTACAAGGTCTGGGGTTACGGAGCGATTTAATCCATCATGGCGGCCGCAGATCCTGAACGACCGCAACTTACTCAGCCTTTCATCTGTACTTTCAACCATTCAAGAGGGCCCAGATATCGAATAATTCCGCTCGGTTTCCACGATGTACCATTAACGGCGACCGTATAATAAGCTGGCCAACCATAAATTCTCCCGTGCTTCAATACAATATCGGTCGAAGGAAGGCTCGCCATAGGACAAGGGTATTCGACTCTATCTGGCGTTCTGCCATTCTCGTTGCATCCTCGACCGCAGAACGCCGACAGGAATTCAAACAATAGCTCACTAAGCCGCGACCATGATTTTCCTGTGCACCGCGTCATTATCGCTGAGTTTACGCAACCTTGTTCTCCGATTCCATCGACGTTCCATTTCATCGCCGATTTCGCGATCCCTTTCGTACACCCCTTATGTATCAATTTTGTTAGTTTCGATCTCAATAATTTCATAAATTTCGTGTGTATCGTACAATCGGTATTTAGCAATGTTCTCGTAATTTGTTTGTAATTCTCTTTTATAGTATAATTTAAGAGAGTCTGAAATTAACTTAAGAAAAAGTGTAAATACTTTTTTAACCCACTGTGGATGAATTCACTTACTGAAGCTAATTTGAATTCAATATAATCCAATGAATGTCAGTTTACTAGCTAGTGGAATAATTGTATAGGAGGGGTAATGGCATTTTATGCAATATGACGTGCATCCTATTGAAGAAAGAGCAAAAACTTCACAAATTATACTCTCACTGTTGGAAAAATAGGTTAAAAGAATTCAGGGGTTTGTAACAAAAATGAAGCTTGTAAAATTTTGCTTTTTTTTCGGAGAATAAGAAATATTCTAGCACTTTGAAGATTTTAATAAGTCATTTTTAATAGTATAGGCTCCACCATGTTTTAAATTTCACTTCTGATTACTAGAATCTGCTGTTACGAAAAAAACAGAAGCATTTGACAAGAGTCGTTTTCAAAGGGTCAAAAAACTATGAATACGTACTGATAATAAATATTATACATATTACAGTAGACAACTTCCTCGTTTTCAATACAAAGTCTGAAAATGATAAATAATACGGTCGAATTCATACGTTTTGAAGTTTTTATTTCCCTATGAAATTTATTTCTTATTGGACTTTTTTTTATATGTACATATCTTCTAAATTAAACTGGAGTTGTAGCGAGTTCGCGAGGTCGTTGTTTATCGTTATGGATCACGCACCACGTGTCAACAAACGTTACAACGTTTATGAACAGTCGTTTCAGGGGTCATTGTGGGTCTGCACCCCTGTTGCACTGCCGTCCTTTTATGGAAGAACTCGGTGAATCGTGTGCATCCAGCGAAATGACATTTTCATTTTATTTTTGCGTGCGAATAATATCGATAAAAGTGTATTCTAGTAAATTCTGTTGTAAACATGTTTGTATATTACACAGTTTCCGATTGTTGAAGTCAATTAAAAAAAAAAAAAGAGATGCTATAATGGTAATATTTGTATAAAAATAAACGATGAAGCTAAAGTGAATGAAAAAGTGTTTGCACACTTTGGTGTCTTTATTATATTTACAAGAATTAAAAATATGTAAAATGTGAGAAAGCATAATTTTGAAAGTTTATTAAAATTGAAAAATGTTATTGTTGCTGCTATTATGTTTCCCAACATTTTTCAATTAATTGCTATATGGTAGAATATTGAACTTAATTCAGTATTCACGAGACAGGTTCTACTAGGATTTAATTAACTTTCTTACTAGTTTCTCGCCTGTTAACGTTGTGTACCCCGGGCGATCAAAACAACCCTGTTTGAGTCGTCAGAGTGGCACAACGCTCCTGAATTTAATTTTCAGCGGTGACGCTCTCTCTGTTTTTGTTATTCTATTCTCAACTTCTCCAAAACATCCGCCTACAGTTTGCATAGATAATTTTCGTGAATCGATTTACTTTTTCTTTTTTTTAATAACAGAATAAAAATTTAATTTCAATTTTACATTATACAATCAAACACTGATTACTACATACTAATAAAAAAATTAAACAAATTGAATAAATGTGAAATATTATTAAAACAACGCAATCAGTACTATATGCCAAGACATATACGCACATACTTCTGGTCGAAAATAATACTGAAGAGCAAACCGTGACTCGATAATTGGTGTCAAATAAAAAATTTAAAACATTATCTTAACACTCACCATATTTAAACGGAACTGCACACTACCGCATGAAACATGTGCACTGCACTTAAAACAATTGGCTTTCGTGCTTCATGTCACGTGCTTGCATCACAATCGAACCACAGAATCAAGACATTGGTCGCGTACGCGAGTCTCTGGGCAACTGACTATGACTACGGCTCCCGAGGCGTGCTAATAACAACCCAACGGTTGCGCGTACTCGCGTGCGCGTTGCTCTTACAAAGGAGATTCTTCCGTAAGGGTCAGACGCGGCTCGTTCCGTCTGAAACCGAATCGAGTAATTAATTACATATTTTTAAATATTTCACGCATTCCAATTTTCAATATTTATAGCTTCTAGAGGTCTGTGTAATACAATAAATGACAAAACGTTCAATCAGACGTAACGACGTTTCTATTTTATTCTTAACCCAATAATATCTTATACCTAAGGGAAAAAAGAAATTCCTACTTTTGTTCTCGTCTTCATGAACTACTTTATTAAGTGTCATTTTTCATAAGAATCCATAGTTTGCTAATGATCGACACTATAATGATCATTTCATACTGAATAAATCGTGCAACGCTTCGATCGCATGCTTTTACATCCTTCCTTAGAATAATTAATCGGTCAAATGTGGATAGTAATTGTTTAGCCTATCCAGGTTATAACGTGTAAGCTTGTTTACGATAAAATTTCAATTTTCGCAACACGACCAAATTACTAATACATATTCGCGGCCTGAAAGGGTTAATGTTTCATTTATCAGACATCCTCTTGCCTATATGGTACAACTTCATCTATTGCAACGAACGAGTTCGAAAGAACGTTCTGGAATGGAAACCTTGAGACGATCCATGATATGTCTAGAAGGCCTTTTAAAAAAAGAAACCATGCCCATCGCCAGAATTAGGTCATCCGACTAAATGGTTCCATCTGTTTTATTGCGACGAGCCGGTACGGACTGTTTTTGGCAATTATAGCGGCGCCTGTGTTTTCATGTAATCTTTCTCACTGCGTGCAAATACGCGTTAACTACATCATAATTCTCTCACACCCCTGTCGAACCTCGATGATTGAACCATTGAAAGTAATTACCATCAATTTATGAAGCCTTTTTTTTAAATGTAATGTTTGTATTTTCAGGTAGGATACTTTAAATCAAAGAAAAAAAACACAAAATAAAGTAATAAAAGAATGGGTTTAAAGGATATTTTCAAAAATCGAGATTCAAGACAAACTTGGGCTTGGAATCTTTTATTCCCAACGTTCGACGGTTAAAACTACAAGGCACTGAAAAATGCGGAAGAAACATTTTTCCAATTTTTTTTTGTTCATCGTTACACCGATTGGTTACCGATCCATTAATTCGCGAGAATAAACAATTGCCAGTGACCGCGCGACGCCCGTCATTTTTTTTTTTCCCTTTTGACGTTTCACGCCACCAGGTAAATCATCGTGTGCTTATCCCGGAAATCCACAGGTAAAACGGAACCGGACGGTCCAACCGCATCGCTAATCGATTATGCCGTACGATGATCTAACACGCGAACCCTCTCGGCCGTAAGTCCCACGCAAAATACGAGACTAGAAACATTTCGTCGTTCTTTGTCGCGTCGTCCTCCCGTCGTCTGGCTCGGGAGGCCACCAAAAGCGTCGTGAAGTCGTCGACTGTCTCGAAACGAATCGACGGTCGTGCGATCTCGCTGTCGTGACCGGTGGGACCATGAAAACGGAACTCGACCGTTTCTCCACTAACAGCACCGGAAATTCGTCCACGTGTCGCAGACATCGAAACCCCGTTCCTCACCGTGACGCCGTGTTGATCATCGACGATAATGAGCCAGTCGACAGCGTCGCAGTCAGGTTTGATATGGGATTGTCATATTTAACCGTATTCCGGGACTTTGTTCGGATGACAATGATGGAAATATTTCATTCAATGTTCGTATATTTTCGTCTTTCACACGTTCACTGTCACGGTTTTCTACTACTATTAGGACAATATCATAATAAAATTCATTGTGTCTCTTCTTTGCTGTTAACGATATCTAATAGTACTTACTATAATAAGGTGAATTGATAACATTCACTAGGATTAATAAGATTTTGTATATTATTTCGAATTTGTTCGTTAAGTCTAGTATACGTAACATCATCTACACAAGTGGCAAGTATAGATATATTGTTGATACTGTGTGCGAATGTGAAAAATATTTTAATTAGATTATTGAAATTATTCTCGCGTGAATCAGTTATACTTTAGTGTGAGGAATTAAGGAACTAAGGATCGTCGAATGATATACATGTTTTGAAAATTTAGATAACGCGGAACCTGTGATCCCCGCGGAGAAAGTGACAATGTCGTCTACAGTAATTAAAGGCGCCGCAACGGTTCAGAGGAACAAAACTCCGACGAATCCAACTAATCGATATGGATTTCACGTTTGTATTAATAAAATATTACTACCGACCTATTTGAAACCCAATGAAATATCCGCGATCTTAATATTAATAAATAAATTATACACAAAAAAATGGAATTTCAGAGAGAACCTGCGAGTAATACAGTAGACGAGGCCTCGAGTGGTAGTAAATCACAGAATAATTCTGTTCGTCGTTCGCCCACGAAACCGTCAATTAGCCCCACTGGATTCAAGAGGCCATCTTCTTCCATGGCCGCCGGTTCTGCGATGAAACTCGAAAACCAATACATGCTGAAGAAGAAGCGGTTCCAGCAGTTACGGAAAGATTTACTCGATAAACAAGTAATGACACACAGACCTTCTAGCTATGGAAACACAACTAAACGCTAATAAATAAAGTCTTATTCGAAATTCGATTTCGGCCTGTGTTCAATATTTTTTGGTCGACAATGTGTAAGTGTCGAAATACTTACGAATGGTAGTGTATGTGCAGAAAGTCGCTCAGGATATCTACAACGAGATGTCGCAGCTTCGGGAGAAGGTGATCGCCTGCGGGGCGAAGGATCCAGGCAAATTGGATGAGCTGAGGATCGAAGTGGGGGTTACCAAACATGTTACTACTCCGTTGGAACCGGTCACGCAGACGGAACCGGTGATCAAGTTCGAAGAGAAGCTTGTCATCGGTAGGAAGTTCCTCGAGAACTTGGAGAAGCAGCTGCAGGAGATGCCGCAAAAATCGCAGAACTTTTGTCGGGAGATAGCGAGGAAGCAGACGGAGTTTGTAGCGTTCGTGAATTCGCGGTTGAAGACCAACACCGAGGAATGCGACGGAGATAACGCGAACGCTGAGATGACCACACAGTTGGAGGCGCACGAGAAAGAGAACGAGATCCTGCAGACCTGTTTAGAGGAGATGCAATCGGCAGAAGTGAAGACGATCGCGGAAATAATGAAGACTGCTCAGGGTATAACTGAATCGACGAGATTTTCTATTCTTCTTACGTTTCACGGATCTTCTTTAATTTTGAAATCGTTGCGTCTTGTCACTTTAGATATGATAGAAGAGTTCGAGAACGATCGGGTGAAGTTATTAGAGTCGAAAAACGTGGAAGGTCAAAAAGAGCTGCAGAGCCAGCTGGAAGCCGTCAAGGAGGAGTTGAAATTGGAACGGGAGAGGAGCCACCAGAGCAAGGAACGTATGCGACAGGCGGACTCGCAGCTGCAGAAGGCGCGAGTGAAAATACGCGAGCTGGAGGCGCACGTGGAGAACGGCGATGGAAAGATTCAATTGCTGCAGGGGAATCTGAAAAGCTTAGAGACTCAGATGAAGCAGAAGGATATGGCCATGGAGTTGAAATTAAAGGACATGCAGAAAACGATGAAGAGCAGCGAGAATCTGGTCAATAAGGTCGAAAAGCAGAGGGACAGCTTCGAGACACGGTTGTTTCTTCTGTAGCCGTGAAGTGCAGTTTGACTCGTTGAATACTCGCTGACAACAGAAATACTCTATATAATAAAAATTGCTTCTGCGTTATAACGCTAGGAGAAAATCGGAAAATTTTGCGAGTATTCAACGAGACACTATTGTAATCGTAAATCCATGTTTCTTCCTTTCGCTTTGTACTGACCAAAGTTCGCTTCAGGCTGATGGAAATAAGGGAGAAAATGAGTTTGAAGGAAAATGAGACAATGAGTACAATCAAAGAGCTATCGGAGAAATTGAATGTCATGTCTTGCACAATTAGTGCGGAGAGACAGAAAAGGTAAAAAAGCAAATGTTCTGTTTCAGTATTTTATATGACTTCACTACCATATTATATTTCTTCCGGCAAGGGTACTTCGTTATTTTATCTACGGGAAGGTTCCACTACTGATAAATGTTCCATTTTAAACAGGCAGCAAGCCGAGGAGGCGTTTAACGAGCTAGAGGAACGCTACAAACAACTTGAAGAGAAGAGCAACCAACTATGCGAACTTGCAGAAAAGAACAAGGATTTTACTATAATAGGTATAAAACGTGAGAAGCCTTCCTGGAGGTAATGTGCTTTACCTGGAGCGAATTATTGATTACCAGAGGGAAATCATACGGAGAATGATGTCCGATTGTTCAACGAGCTACAGGAGACAAGGGCGGAATTGGAGGTCCAGAAGCGGATGATAGCGCAGCTACAGACAGAAAAAGAGGAGATCGTGACAGTGATGCACCAAGCGGCCGTTAGTTTGCACTACTTTCGGGACATGTCCTCGAATAAATCCTAGGGACTGCTTGATTAGATCCTTTCGTTCGTTAAATGTTCTAGCCTCATTAATAGTCTGTGATAATTGTTAATCATTTGGTTTTTCGTTTCCGCGACCCAGAGCCACGACGAGGATGAGGATTCAAGAGAGAAATTGGCTGTCGAATTGGTGACGAAAACGACCCAGCTGAAGGAGTTGATTATGCAGAATTCTGAATTGAAGAGATTCGCAAAAAACGCGTAAGTTATAGAATGATCAATTCGTCGTTGATCTACATAGAATCTAGTGTTAATTGTTGAACGACGTTTCTAAGTCCTCGTTCTTTGCGGAACAATCTACAGCCAAGAAAAAAATGGGACCTTAGAAAAGCAACTGAAAGAGATTCAGGCGAGGCTACAATCGCAAACGAAAGAGGGTGGCAAAGCTGGATTGAACGCTTACGCCATCGATCTTCAACAGCAGGTTTCCGATCTTCGCCATAACGTGGCGGAACTGATGCAACAGAACGTAGATTTGGAGAATGCACTGACGCAGAAGCAATTAGAGCTGGAGCAGCGTGACCGTGTGATGCGTGAACAGAGCAAGTTCCTGAAGGTTCGGGACGAGTTGCTTGACATTCTGAAAGGCAAAGTCGAACAACAGAACGGCGAGCTGTCGAATAGCGACGAGAACAACGAATACATTGAACAGGTATTTCAAAGCAGACCTTAATTTTGCTATCAGACATCTAGAAATATCCTTGTAAGCTATTTAACAATAAGTCAAGAAAAATTTAACAAGAACTGCCCGTCTATCTCTTGACGAAATTGTATCCAACTTAATGAGTAGATAGCCGCGAAGACGGAGGCAATTCAGAAGTTGTTCACGACTCTGAAGGAGAAACAGATGCAGATAATGCGTCTGGAGAAGATGGTGAAACTGATGGAGGACCAGCAGGACCGTGCCCAAGCTCAACGCACGCGTTTGGAGAACCGTATCGCACAGCTAGAGCTGGCTCTGCAGAGGAACAAGGAACAACGGTATGTCAGGGAAAGGTCATCCTCTCCTATGAAGTCTGAAACAGTCAATGACCGGAATTATCTTAGCAATTTCGATCAACCTTCGTCGCAACATTCTGCAGCCTCTTGCCATGTCTCTTATCAATATCCATACGGTTCAGTTACTAAAAGGTCAGACGTAGTACTCAGTACCATAGCCTCACAAACTGATAATCAGTCCCGTGATGACTTCGAAGAGGATACTCCGCGACAAACAACCTCCGACGAGGAACAACTTTACATCTGTGAGCGTTGTCGCAACACGGTTACACCACTGAATAAAGACGACGAACAGTGGTCGAACAAAGAGAGTCCCGATAATAATGGTCACGAATCTTTTCGTAATTGGTTCATGAATGAGTCCGGTCTAGAAAAGCCAAAATATTCAATTAACATTCATAACGGTCATGATAATATTTACCACGATCCACCTGCAGTCGTTAGGGGTAGGAGGTACATTTTTACAAGGAGGAACCTCTATGAAGAACCTAATAATGCATATGGTAGTAGCAGGGAGTCGCAGGGTTCTTATCTGAGAAAAGACAATCGACGTCGCAATCCTCTTCGTTATCATGTTCGGCTATTGCCGACAAATAGGATCCACTCTCCTACCGAGGACTTGTAAAACTGTTTTTATCGTCTCTGACTGAGACACCTTCGACACTTGGCGAGTACTGGATGTTACGTTGAAGGGTTTCATATCGGTGTAGGAAATGTTTTAGGCTTCTTTTCTTGTAAAATCTCAACGACCATTGTCTAGGTATACATTAGTATAAAAGTGGTATAAATAGTAAAATACTACACACATGTAAATGTCAAAGTAAATTTGGTGATTTTGGGTTCGAAGTTGTTGTAGTACTGACTTGAGTGTGGTACTTAGTAATAATGAGTATCTCTATTTTTGTAAAAGGTTGTTACAGTCTGTTAGTGACAAAAATTTCTGTTTTAATAGCACTTTCCTATAGAAACGTATGTAATGTACACTTATAAATAAATCTGAATGCTGTTTATATGGTCTGATTTAATAGGCTAGGTACTCCCTGCTACAGAGTTTTCAATGATGTATAATTGATTTGAAAGTTCCTTACAGAGTGCCTAGCCTTTGAAACAGACCTACTCATAATTTCTCCATTGCTGATCGATTTTGTTTTCTGTGTTTTAGGGGTAAAGGCTTCAGCATCCTGTAAGGAACTTTTAAAACGTCAACAGCACAAATGGCTATACGAAATTCAATTGAGTGATCCTACCTCAAAGGGATTCTGTGAAATTGACCATGTATTTGGTGGGTGACTTGGTGCAATGATCACTGATCACAGTCATTTGAAACAGAAATCGGTCCCTACATTTACAAAAGAAAAAAACATGTAAATTAATTAGAAATTTAGTTCTTAAATTCATTGGAATCAAAAATCTTTCATATGTATTAATTTATATGTATATTCATTGACATTTATATTTGTATATTATGTTTGTAGGTAAAGTTTATTTTATAATAAACTTTATAAAATTGAATTCTATGTACAATACTGAAGACTGCATTAATTACTATCGTTATCACTGCTGTCAGAGTAAGCTCCTAATAGGGATAGAGCATTGTGAGTATTGCCTGATGAACTATCTATCTTTCCAGATCTGTTGGTCTCTGTGTCACTATTACTTTTTCCTTGAGTAGAAGTACCTGTTTCTTTTTCAGTTCTACTTTGTTCTTTTTCCACTGTACTACTATGTGAAGAATTTGAATTCACTTTAACTCCTAAGTTTGTTTTTCTTTTAACTATTCCTAATAAGTTTTTTTTGTTTGACGATGATCCTGCACTTTCAGACCAAAATGATGCATCAGATGTTTTTATAGACACAGGTGTACTTACACTTTCTTTATTTGTCCTTGTAATGCTACTACTCTCTTCTTTATTTTTACTTGTTTTCATTGTCTTCTTTGGAGGTTCAACACTTTTATTTTCATCTAATTCAACAATTTCTTCTTCTACGATAACTCCATCTGTTTGTTTCTTGCCAAACACTGATCTGATATATTCTTCATCATATTCCTCTTGTTCTTTCTCTGTTCTTAGTTTGGCTGCTTCTGTATCAAACTGTTCCAACATTTGATCATAATCAATAGTTTGCTGTCTACGATTCAAGTCTTTCAATTCCTCCAAAGACTCCAACAATTCTAATTCTTGTTTTGATTGTAATGTTCTTTTTTCTAACAGTTTCATAGGATTGGTGGCTTCCTCCTCCTTTTCTTCATCTTCTTCCCTCTGCGCTTGCTCTTCTGCCAATTTTAGGGCCATAAAATTCCTCGTAGCACCTGCTTCGATCTCATAATCTGTATTCTTGGGATCTGTCTTAAAACTTATCTCTTGAAGACATCTTGTGCACTTTATGTAAAACCTATAAATTCGTATTCCTAAATAGTCATCACCTTCAACATCTTCTTTGCGGGCATTAAATTTCTTTCCTTTGTAAATGTACTCTCCACAAGTTTTGCATCTCATGTTGAAAGGAGCCATCAAACGTACAGTATACTGCCTATTTCGGGCCAATTTCATACGAGGAATTTTAGACGGATCAAAGTCCGGTGGATAATATTTCTGTATAAGAAGAATCATACATATTTTAAGTATGTATTTGCGTACATGCCACATATTCCAAGCCTAACTTATTTACGCCTGCATGACACTAATAATTTAGGAGTAAGAGATGAGTAGATATACGTGATTGTATATGTACTGTGCATTTTTTAACCAAGTTAGGCTGGGAATTTATGACACTACCTATGTGCATATGAAACATGACCTTAATACTTTGTCTTTATGTTTTAATTAATGTCTTTAGTAACGTAAAATGTTACTTACGTTTAGAACTTTTCGCTCCGACATTTTGCTGGATTAACTGGATAAAATTACCAATGTAAATATTTGCTTCAAATCATAAACATAAGACGATGTATCGGTTACTTTAGGTTAAGTATATCTACAAGCACAGATGATGTATAAGATACACTTTCACCTTACGGGACTTCGTGTCCTAAACTTCTATTCTACAATATAAGTCTAAGTTTTCTTTATTGTTTCACTGAAGAAATGGTGTTATCCATTATTTAATTGATAATATCTGTCAGCTGATTCTATTCTAATTCATATACTTTGGCGCCACTGTCAAATTAGCGGGAAATGTGTACCAGTGTGTATCACAGACGATGTTCGCAGCGTTCGCGAAAACATTGCAGATTAGAAAATTTCGAGAAAACTGCACCAAAAATACCATGAGGTATTGTACATAAATTATTTTCATTTAAACCGAATTGGAATAACAAATTTTAGAGGTACGTACGTAGTTGAATGTCTTTATTAATCGTAGAGTCAAGTGGAATGCATGTTTTCAAAAATTGGTTAACTCGAAACACAAAACACCTTAAACTGATTATAACCAAAGGACTGCTACAACATTGTCTGAAACCGTCCTCCTTGTACCTCTGTTTTTCCGTTTTATGAGGGTAACTAATTTCGGGTATATACATAATAAAAATATCATACGGACGTATAATACAGTGGTAAATATCTTATTTCGTCGAAATAGATATATAGTAGCGGCGGGGGGGGGGGGGGGGGGGGAAAAAACCGCGAAAGAGTCATTCGTCTCGGGGAAGTTGGAGTGATAAGACGCAGATGGAGTTTGCTCGTGTTAAAAGGTATGTACTTGATCCATATTTTTCACCTTAGATCATTTGTACAAACTATTAATACCTTTGTTAGCTTTTTATCGTTACTTTCGTTTCATACATATTCAATTTAGAGTAAATAATGGTAAATTAAATCGACATTATGGGACAAGGTGAATCGATCTTTGAGACTCTGTTCTCCTCTGATACCCACCCATCAGTATTTACGCAGATTTGTTCAATTTGCAATCTTTAGCTACACTCCTCGAGTCAATAATTGCTTATTTGTGACTTAATTATAGTTAATTTAACGTAGTTACTTAGAATTAACGTTTATTTTCTGTTTCAGAATTCCGACTGGAAAGAACGCGCTATCGACGCCATGACGGTTAACTATCTTTTCAAACGTAAATCGGTGGGAAACTAGTGAACTCTGGTAAGTTATTATAACTAATATCTGACACTTCACTCTATGTTTTCAATTTATCGCGCTTTTATTTTGTCGAACCGTAAGCACGATCGCGATTTTGTGATTTATTATGCTAAGGACGAACGAGATTTTTCGAAAGATATTGTGAATTCAAACGCGTAATTGAAGCATTCAATATGGCTTCCATGGCCGTTAGAAATTTAAACGATAATACATCCAAACATTCAAATTGGAAATACTCGCAATTTACTGTAGTCCATTTGCGAAATTGTTTTCATATTAATAATTTTAAGTGTTTATCTTTATAAAGACATTTTATTTGCATTTATATATACTTTAGGAGCTACCAAGCATGAGTAAATAGTGAAGTTGGGTAACTGCGATGAATTTCTGAATATTTACAAAAACTAAGACGTAGTTTAGACAAAAAAATGAACGCGACAGCTCTAACAACTAATGTCATTAATCTAATATACTAGTCATAAATACTCAAATATAATGAATACAATCTAAACATAAACTGAAGAATTATCTTATACGACTTTATTGAATATTTTTTTACTTGTGTGTAGTTAATGCCATATTTTTATGTTTAAGCTCATATTTATCGTTGAATTTGATATTTTTTTTCAGATTTTTCATATCGTGCATTATAGAACAATGAAGAAAATGTATTCGCGTGAGGCTCTATCACCAAAGATTGTGAGTATCTTTATATATTATTAAGTATATTTTTCAATTAAACAGTTTGAATTTTGAGAAGAAATAGTAATGAATTTTCTTTCCTTTTGTTTAGATACTCCCATATTTCATCACTCAAGAAAATGTCATTTTTCTTACTCCTGCTTTTCTTTCAGAGAATTTGGTGGCCGCGCGCAATGCGGCCGAGTAGAGTCAGTGTTCACATTGTAAAAGTTTTTGTATTTATCCGGAGCGAACTGACTTCGAATAGAATCTCACAGGAGATACTAGGTCCTCGCGAAAGTAAAGTCAGTGTTTATTGCGTATTATCAATTACTTTCAGTGTTGGGATAGAGTTTTTCTTGTTTTTTTTTACATTTAAAAATGAGCGTTCGCGGTTATAGTCAGTGCATCACTGAAGAGGATGTTTTTGGGCGAAGCTCTATAAACAGAGATTGTAAGTATCTTTATATGTTGTTACTTACATTATTCAATTGAAGCAGTTAGAATTTTGAGGAGAGATAATAAGGTATTTTGTTCCCTTTTTTCAGATGTATTACATATTTAATTACTGAACACTCTAGGAGATGTCCTCAGGCAAAGCTCACATTCATCACATAATATATCACTGAACACTGAAGCAAATGTCCTCGTGCAAAGCTCCACCATCAAGGAATGTAAGTATCTTTATATTCTATTACTTACATATCTAGAACTTTGAGAAAAGATTGTAACGTATTTTGTTCCTTTTTTCAGATTTGTCAAGGAGCCCTTCTATCATCTGGTGAGTCGCATGCTTTTTGATTTCTCTGGTCCCCAATCATGCCGTAGGACGATTGGTCCGAAACGGCACGGGCGACTGGTTGTGTACATGTTGAATTTAGCGAGTACAGTGAACGTCGGTATGCAATTATACCTACGAGTAGTAACACTGATCTGTTATATTTCCTAGCTAGGCTAGGGTCTTCTTGTGCACCGCGTTTACTACTAGTAATACAATTCATAAATATTTTATAATTTGATGCACTGCTCGTGACCCGGCTTCTTTAAGTATTCAATTTAATATGAGATGTTGATCTCAGAGTTTTTAGGTATTAATAAGATCCATATGGGATGAGCTGCAACGTAACATTCTGTATAGACACGATATTACAGACCATGTACAAGAAGGTTCTAGAATTGTTCGTTGCAACAATCTTTCACAATTTCTGGTATCGGTCGTACATATTCCTTTGCTTTACACAATGTCTGTAATAAAATTTCCATGGAATATGTATTGGTTTAAAGTCTCTCGTTATCAGACGAGAAAATGAAAATAGATAATCGATACAAAGTACATCAAGTATACGTATGTTGCTTAAGCAATTTTCTATTTGCGCAATGAATGCTAGACTTTGCCGGTCGATTTCAGGAAAATGGTACGTATTTATACAGCTTAGAGTGTGCAAATCGAGTATCACGCTCGGGTGTCGGAGGAGTCCCGGGACGTCCTCTCTAGGGTTAGGCTAATTTGCACCCGGGCGTATATTTGAGAACCGTGGAGTGTGGTGTGTTGGCGAGAATGTGTCTTTTGTCATATTTTTTTTAAATATAGGGTTAGGTAGGCAGGTAGCATACTTTCTGGTGTGTGAGTACATGATTAGATTAAGTAGGTAAGGACTGGGGCAGGCTATTACAGTCTGATCGGGTAGGCATTTCCATTCCGTGTGATAGTCTGCTACCGGGGTAGTTTGTAATGTTGATTCGAAGCTGGTTCAGACGGAGAATGCCGTATGCTTCCGGTTTCGACTTCGACTCTTCAAATTCGGCGATACGATCGTCGAAACGAACGACCGGCTTGAGAGTTTCAGGTGGGCGGACTGTCGAAGAAAAGAAGAGGCTATATGCCGAAGAGGCCTGACAAAAATAATGTCATTGAAGAGAGCAACTACTAATGACTCTGCATCTTCGGATGGGGAGTCATTCCGTTACTACTTTGTCACTGTACTCGCTTGTAGTTGTGTAGTATGTAGTAGTAGTAGTTTTTATTTTAGTCGGCATATCGGCCCAACGACCAGCAATATTGGGCAAATCGCGGTTTAAATTAGTGTTGCGGGTGAAACGATCACAGTTTGCATTAGTCTTGGAAATTTTTAATGTTAATCTGCTTAGTTGTTTAAAGAATAGTGTCGCGGATGAAGAGTTCGCGTTTGCTTTGGGATCATTTTTTAAGATAGTGTTGCGAAGATGACTGAGCGCGATTGTTTATAGTTCTTATTTCTCGTGAATCAGTCTTGCGTCTATAAATGAATCGAGATTGATCTGAGATATTATAGATTTCCTTTTTTAAATTGAATTATTTTCAAAAAGTCTTGAACTGGCAACATAACATTGATTGATATAATAGTATAATAGTTTCTTTTGCTGAATTAGAGTTGCGATATGGATTGTTCGTGTTCGTGTTAGTGTTGCGATCTATAAAACGCCCAAAATCATACTGGAACCATCATTGGAACTAAAAAGCAGCCGAGATAGCTGCACTGTTTGAATTAAGATTAGTCAATAGAAAAGATATAATTTTTGTTATAATTTTTGTGGTTTATGTTTCGGAAATCAACATTTGAAGATTTTTCTTCATAGTAGCTGGCAGTGTACGTTTAAAACGTACAGGTATATTACTTTCTATTTTCTTTTAAATTTGCCTATCGTATATGCAGCTTATACTGATAAATAAATTAGTACGCTTGACGATGAACAATATTATTCGACGATAAACAGTAGTATTCCGCAATAATGGGCCCTGAGATCAATTAGCTCGCCATTGTAGAACTCTCGGAATTCATTTAATATGGGCTGAATTAGAATCGGTGTTAAGACCTCCCCGGATGTGTTCTTCTTTCTAACGTGAATTTAATATCGGTAAACATAAAGCCACCAAAGGATGAAAGAGAGCTCAGAGAAGTAGACCGTACTGACTCGCTTCGTGGAATTGAATTCAATTCGGCCTCGAGTACGTTTGTGTAAAGGTTATTCAGCTAAACACAAGGTCATGGGTACATGACTCGGGTCAATCGACCGCGTAAAACAGCCGAACCAGAATCTTTGCGTAAAAAAAATAGTCTCAAAGACACCACGATCCCACGTTCCCTTTTTGCTGGGGCAGGAGAGATTTGGTTATGAATGTATTCCTATGTGTATGTGTTACCGGAACTGTGTGGTTTTGAAATCAGTTACGCATGCACTCTCAGCCATACAGGTTGTTTAAGAAGAATTTCGAAAATTAGCAAGTATATCGTAGATATTGAGTTTGACTGAAAAATGTTTTTCTCACTTTTTATGGAAGTATTACAGTAACCTGTTTGAATGTGTGTTCTTGGTCCTTCATTTTATCGTTCGTTCGATCTTTAATTCTTCAGTCCGGATTTATACTGTATATCAGAACAAGAAATTACAAGCAGGAAATTATTTAACTTACCTGCTATGGTACTATGAAAAATATCATTTTTAATGTAGATATACATTATGGTAAAAAGCATTTAACACCCGTGTTCAGTGTTTGTAAAATGAAATAACTGACTGTTAAGATCTGTGAATTAAGTTTAAAAGAAAAAATGGGCCAGAAAGTGAAGAAAACGGAGCAAAATGGAAAGTAAAAGTGAACTTTCAGGTTTTAAATGGAAACCTGATTTTTAAAAGCCATCGGACTCGGTTTTATGAAGATGTGAGACAAGATTATTTATAGCCAGATTTCTGAAACAATTTAGCGTAAAAGTATCTTCACGTGATAGACAGTATTGAGACAATTATAATGAAATTTTCGTTAACATTACTTTGTTATTAAATTATAGTATAATCATCAATCTTATTAATTAACATTAATAACGAAATTATTTCTCCTATTCTTTATACTTATTCTGCAGAAAAAATTATCGACATAATTGCAATTAATGATTTGCTATGAAAAGCAACAAAAATAGTAACAGAAATAAAAATTTTCTTTCTTTCTATCATACTCGATTTATGCTTGTTCTGTGTTCTAAATGAAGATACTACTTTATAGCAGTATTCTTCCATTGTAGTGAATTAATCGAGACAAAATAGCAGTTACAGCAGGACTCCTTTGTAGTTACTACTCCGCAGTAAACTATGAAACAAAAACGTCATTATCCCTACCAGTACACAGTGGGTACCAGGATCAATAAGGCACAAGGTACGACGTCTTATTACAAATCGTAAACAAAATCTTCACATTTATTTATTTACACTGAAAAAAAGATGAGAGTAAGAATTTCCCAATGGAAATAATACCAAAGTATTAACTAACAAAACACAAAGAAAATATATTTTTATGTACACGCACATCATACAATATTGTTTCTCATCTCACGCATTCTTCCATTCATTGGTTTGTACGTCAACTTTCGGTCTGATTTTATTTATTCCTAATAGTACTTTCGTAATAATTTTTCAGATATTCCACTTGTAACTGAATAAATTGCGGCTGCAGTTTAGACCATCTTAACAAAGTCTCGAACGCCCTTCTCATTATTTGTTCAGTGGGCACTTCACTTTCACTGTAGAATTCGACCGCACCCTCGACACCATAATCCTCTTCGTCTTCCTCCTCGTTTTCGTCATCCGTATCTGTTTCTTCGTCGTGTGTCATAAAATTCTTCTCCACTTCCTCGCAGCGGGATAAAAATTCATTTACACTCTCCTCGGGTTCTTGATCTCCACAAATCACGCCAATGATGTCGTGAAAATTAGGCTCCAAAGGATCAACCGGCTCCTCCTTTATCGGACATACTTCAGGGATATTGTTGATGATTTTGTTCCACGCGGCTTGAATGTTCGCGACATTGACTTCCATCCACGCCTCGGTGAACAAATCAATACAGTCCTTTAGGTCATAATCGAAGTAGAATTTCCGTACGCCGCCAGGAAAGTTTAACACCCGTTGTAACATTTTAAGCCTGTAGGATCTTTTCGTTTTCTCGGCTACCTCTTGTTCCAGAGGCTGCAGAAGCGAGGCAACACTCGCGGGAAAGAATATAACGTGAATATCATCGTTCTGTCCGAAATCATTAGGTATCCGTAAACTATCCCTCTGATCATCGTCCAATAGTAGAACGATTTTTCCGCTACTGTCGGGAAACTGAAGTATCTTTACAGTCGGTTTAAAATGATTCTCATACCAGTCTAGAAATATCGTATGATCCATACGAGCTTCCTCTTGACATTTGAACAATACGGGCAATCGATCCCTACAGTGCTTCAACGCTTTCGGATTTTCGAGTCTGTAAATAAACAACGATTCAAGCTTGTGACAACCGGACACGTTGACGCAAAGGCTGACGGTTACCCGATCCTTTTTAAATTTCGCGGCATTACTCTTACGCCTCTTGCATTGCTCCAGAAGTTTCGCGGGGAAAGCCTTCCACGCAAGCGTGGTGTCTTTCATGTAGTAAATATTCTTGGGCGTTATTCCCTCCAGTCGTAGTCGATCTGTTAAGGTTTTTAAAAATTGTTCTGGATTTACCTCCGTGAAAACGTCGTCATCCACTAGTGGATCCCCCTCCTCTAGCACCACTTCCTCCTTCAGACACACCTCCTCCGTGATGTATACTCCCGAACAGAAATTCGTATTTCCCGCTTCGTCGATGCTTCCAAGACTAACACCATGGCGCTCCTTGAAGTTTGTCAACCAGCCTCTGCTTGCTGTAGGGCCGCCGAGCTCCTTCTGTAACTGCACCGCTTTTTCCCAAAGTATTGAGTCCGTGATCGTCGTGCCAAGCGACTTTTGTTCCAGGTACCAGGAGTACAATCGAACGTCCACATCTTCGTTGATTAACTTCCGTGTATTTTCACGCATCCACATTATATCCTTATGTTCGGCCGGCTGGCATAACGTGACTGTATTTCGTCGAATGCGACGCGCGGTGGTGGGGTGAATGTCAAACTCGCCAGCTATTCTGCCGATTGGCGTCCCGGTTTGCAGTCTTTTTACCACGTCGAACCGTTCTTGTGCCGAAAGCTAGGATTCTTTGTCGATTTTAATGCCACTCGCCATTTTCACGAGAAATTTTTAATAACGCTTTTGGGCGAAATAACGCTTCGTGCAGACATGATGAGGAGGAGAATCTCTTGATTTCCTTTTAGTTAGGGCTGCCATCTGTAAAATTACTATGTAATCTGGGACCAGAGGGCATTAAAATTCCGGACTTTTTCGCCTGAAATCACTGGACACTTTGAACTATTTCTTAGATTTGGTACGATATCCCAAGACAAAAATTTCTGTAAGTTAGCGAACAAGCAGCATACGAATAAGTAAATCCGAAAAATCCCTGCGGACGTCTCTGGACGCTCTAAAAATTAGGACAAATCCAGAGAAACCCGGACGGATGGCAGCCCTACTTTTAGTGCACCATCTAGCAGCAGTCGACGGTACGATGACTATCCGTGCACCTATGCTGCACATAGTGCGTCTAAAGATGGCGCCATTTCCACCGTCGCGTAGGTTCATAATACGTGTCTTGTCTACACTCATATCTCGCTTCTTCTAGTTCTCTGTCGATTGATTTTTCCCTCTCTCTTTGAGTATCAATAAGGTAAAACGCATGTTTAGAAATAATGTGTGCAAAGTTTATGGTGGGGATAATGTGGTCGATTACTGGAACGTGAGTGTTACCAAACTTGAAAAGTAAAATAATTCTTGAAAAAGTATTAACAATTTTTGTAAACAACGGTTGCCATGATACTTCCTATTTCAAAATAGCCTCAATCAGTTTCGTGTTCTAAGATACTTCTAGCTTATTGGAAACAGTTTTCATAAGATAAAAATGAGAAGTACCCAAAAGTTTTTATTTTTGTTGGTATGGTATCAGTTCTGCAGATAGTCTAAAGTCTAAAGAAAAGAAATTATTCCAGATAATTAGTCCGTTTTGTATTGAACTGGAATGAATAAGAAATTTTAAAAATTGACAAAATGACATTTTTATTAGAAATTAATTAAGGGAAGTTTTTAAGGTTTACACTTAAAGCGTACCTAAATGTTGGTATCTATATTACTTGTCTTTTGATACGGGTTTAATTTATAAGAAAGATACAAACAGAATGTTAGAGATTGTAGCTCAACCGTCTCGCCGCCTGGTATCTAGAGTAAATCTGGTAGAAGAAAAGTGAATAACGAGTATTCATCATTGTAAACTATCAGACATTGCAAAAAGCTCGATTTATAGAATGTTTTACATAGGAATAGCCCCGTGAATGTTCCCTATTAGCCTCCAGCTACGAGACCTTATCGAATCATGCCGGGATCTTTAATCCACCCGAACAATTTGCATTTATTAGCGATGCGGTAAACCGTTACGAAGATTCCGAATTCCACACAACAACGTTGTACACATTGGAAGCTGATGTTTTCATTATTACGAAGGGTTCGGAACCGAACAAGCGACTTTGTTTCTCGAAAACATTACAATAATCAGCCGTACCCGTTGAACGTTCGATAGTCTGCACGTAATCGTACAATCCGATCTTAATCCGTATACAATAACCGGGCCGAGTAATTTATTAAAAACGATCGCGTGCAAATTGGCAATTCGATGCAACGAAAAGATCACGGCAACAGATCGTAATTTTCAGTTTATGGGACTACACACGATCGTTGTGAACCACGTAGCATCATTGTATGTAGCAGTCGTGAGGTCAATGAAGGCTTTAACCCCTTCGCGCACACGCGCAGCGATGATGATTGCAGATAGACGAAACAAATGAAATACTTACGAACCCGCGTAACATCCACCTTAACGAGATAGAAACTTAATTAGACGTTTCTCGTGCAATATGTTGTTGGCCGAACATTACTGGGTTGTCATACCGCGATTTCTGAGTGGCCTGTACTATTCGTGGAAGCGATCTCATTCATGGAGAGTAGATGATGTTGGTAGTCAGCGGTGCTCATTTTCTGCACGTTTTCGGTGGTGTTCGCATGCCAATCACAGGACTACAGAGTGATCGATATAAAATTGGCCTGAAACTTTATAACTTATGTATAAGAAGTTCTTTAACACTAAACCTACCACGACCGGCGAAAGGACCGGTTTTGTCTTCCTAATTCCTGATTTTTTTAAAGGATTCGTTAGGTTTAGTGTTAAACAGTCTGTTGATTTGAATAGGAATTATAGTACATTTAAACCTGGTTTAATCGACCACTTCGCCACCGTGTCTTCTTTTACTTTAATCGTTAAAAACAATCGTTCGGTCTGAGGTTCAGAAAAAACGTTCCTCGATAAGATAAAGAAGATCGGCACACTGCGTGTGCTCGATCCTCAGCCAGAATTTTTCTGAGAAGTCTTTTGCACCGTACTTTTATCCCCTCGCAACCGCAAATCGTGGTATGCCGCGCGCGCGCATTGTTATGCGCGCCACGACACACTAAGAGAGCCCAGCTTTCTTTCAAGCCGACCAGAAACTTTTCATCGTGAGATTTCACGTTATTTTCTTGCCATCTCTTTAATTCACGTCTTGGATTCGAAAGGGAGGGGGCGATAAATGATCGACGGGAATGCTCGTCGGTTTCTCATTTAATCGCGATTCCCGAAGGACTATTTTACATCGGCGTTATTTCAATTTTACCAGACTTTTATAGTTGTCAGTCGGTTTCCATTGATATAGGACGATGAAACGACTCTGTTGACTTTAGTGTGTCGTAATTTTTTGCGATGGTGAACGTTTACAGGGAAAACAGCTTCTTGGAGTCCTCCTTAGGCAGTGTGTTGATTTTAATAAACACAACGAATCCGACATTATGGGATAAGGATCCGAAATATCTTTATGGCAGTCGCTCGGATCTCGGTCTTCTCATCAGCACAGCTCGTGGTCAGTCTACCTGAACCACTTCGAGAATCATTTCAAAACCTGTCTAACAGTGCACAACAATATTTTGCATTTATAGTATGAATATTTTTATTTCTCTGGTTCAATGACAATATATAGGCTAATTCTCGAAAATTAGAGTTAAACACAAATCGATCGTCTTCAGCAATAATTCTACTCGGTCTGAAATAAAATAATTACTTCATTAAACATTTCAGTTTCAAGTTGTAACTGCATAGATACGGTCGAACACAAGACGTTTTATTATTATTACTTTTCGTTGAATAATTTAATTTCTGACTCGGTCCAATAATTTCACATAACACACTTTTGGAACTTCCAAAATAAAAAACTCTATCAAATGAACTTTTTTATTTCGTGTGATCGTGTATGCCCATCGTGTCGATAAATATTTCCGTGCTTCGATGTACTCGAACAGGAATCGTGTACGTCCAGGCGTAGTACTTAAAAGGTAAACGATACAATTTCTCAGGGAGTGCTTAACGAATTCTCCACGATCTTTGGAAGGCATGCCAGAGGGAGAGAGTATCCTGTCCTGTGAAGGAACCGTCGACTATGTACTGCCAAATTGTAAGGGAACAAAAACAGTCGTCTGCGGGCGCCACCAGACGAGAGCTCTTTTTCTCTTTTCATTTCTTCCTCTCTTTCTGTTCGACGTGATACCATGCTATCTCCAAGCGGAAAGAAATCCACGCCGCGCTCGGTAGTTGAACCCTTTCGCGACACGTTGTTATCAGTGCCTCTTTTTTTTTTTAATATGTCGCAACTTCACGGTCAGGCGTCGCTCTGTTTATTTCTGAATTTAATTTTTTGTATACTTGCAGCTGTACTTTTCCTGCAGTAATCTTCTAATTGGACAGTTCAAGATCTCGTATCGATATGATATTTTATGTGTTTACATAAATAATTGGGGAGCAAATATTTCCTAGTATTTTAATTATGAGGAATTCATCGATGTCTAAACTGATTTTCTGTTGTTCACTACAGCATTGGGTGGAAATTATCTCTCCTGTTGAAAATTTTCATTATACAATACGAAGACTGTAGGATTATTGGAATTGAAAGTCAATTTTTCACATACTGTATAAATGGAGCAACATAGTTGAGATAGACGCAGAAATCCATTTTAATGGAAATTGTTGAGGAAATTTTACTCGAGTCCGTGTTCTCAAACAATGATTTAACACTTTGATAATGTGTGAATAATGATATTCGATTGATTGAAAAGTTCGTTCGAACCAAATCAAACTTGTGTGTGATTCTAGGTGCAATTCAAAAAACGTTGAAACAATAACTCAAGGAAATAATAAAAAAATCCACCAGCTAATTTCTATTTGGTTCAAGTTCCGCAATAATCTTCTAAAACAACTTGATCACTGTCTGTTTTCGCAACCCGCCACGTTGATCACTTCGTCCTACGTATTCTCAAACGTGACACAACTAATGAAACATCATCGTAACACCACCCTCTATTTACATTTCTCTTTCCAATTCCATGCTGATCTTCCCTTATCTGCTAAGAAGCTCGCCAAGAAAGAAACCCAAGGAAGACGTGTCTCCGTCCCGTTTCTTCTAACCGGAAGAAACCCTACAGCTTCCACAGGTAGCAAGAGACTTTCCCAAGGCTCTCGTTAACACCGAAACGCTGTGCTCTATCCCCACGGTTCCACGGTCGAGGGGCTCCGCGTCGATCCTCGATCAGCAACCGTGAGCTGGAGACGGTGGTGTGTGGTTCATTGTGCAGGGGACACCAAGACAATGTCTTGACGAATGCACTGGGGCCATAGGAGAAAACGAGAAAGATGGTGGCTTGAGGTGGAGGAGATGGAGGAGGAGGGTAGCTGGTGGCAAGTTTTAGTAGAGTCTCTCTCGCGAACGTTTCTCGGAAAGCCGAAAACCGAAACACGAGCTGGCCCCTGGCCTCCAACGGAGGCTGGCGGTTCGTGTGTGACACCGGAGAATCACCGCCATTCCACACAG